GCTCAATCTTGACAGCAGGGGTTACTAGGTTGCGATTGGGTCATTTCTTCCCCTTGGGAGCTGAGACGAATGGTTGTCATCCTTGGAACCCCCTGGTTAAGATCAGAGGAATTAGTACAGGATGAAATGTGCGATCTGGATCTCTTGCTCAATTTTACACAAGGCAGTGACTGTTATTAATTTAAGCGTTACATGAGCGTATCCAATTTAGTTTAATATTGTACTGTAACATTCTGTAAAATGAGGGCGGGAGAAGAATTGCTTGATCCTTTTGGTTAACTGTTGGAACACGTTTTAAAAAGTGTTATGGAACAGCACCAGATGACTTGAATTTCAGAAAAGTCTGATCCTGTTCAAGAAATTTGTAAATCAAGTACAGCTTTAAACATTTACTGTTTTCATTTCATTTGCTGTTTTTATTTCATTTTTTATTTCATTTGAGTTCCAATTTAATTACAGTTCAGTTTACTTAGGAGCACATTTGTACATGTTTGAAGCAAAAAAACAGGTGTCTTTTTGAGCTCTGTGAACAACTTTCAACTCAAGTGCTTGGAAATGACCAAATGTCTGGTTATTGATTTTCATTAGCAATTACGATGGATCGGTCGTGGGATTGTATTGCATTGCACAACTTTGAGCTGCTTTGGTGACTCCATGTTTACTTGGGTATCTCTCCAATAAAAAGCTTGTTTGAATGGACATTGTGTGGGTTTGTTCTTTGTCTCGCTGTTTTTTTTCACAAAGGTGCATTTAAATGACACAGGGAAAATTGCACGCTGCAGCAAAGTAAATAATAAAGCACATTGGAACATCTCCATGCGACTGATTTGGTCTTTGTCAATGTGAAAATGGCAGTTTCTGTGGGAACAGGGTGCAGAACGGGCAAGTGTGTAAACGTGCAAATGCTCCTTATTAGTGGAATCCTTTTTCTGTTGGTGGGAGGGAGAGCAGAAGAGATTAGAAGAATGTAAACCTTTAAATGCTGCTTAGTAACCAGTGTTAAGCACGGGGGTGGGTGGTGGGATCAGGAGATTGAAGGGTAAGGTTTGGTTGTCAACACTTTCCCACATATCAATCCACTTTGTGTTATGTTTCCTTTCCCCAAATTGTAACTGGCCTCTATTTGTTTTGAGGAGAGGGGGAAATCACAATATTGCGCATACATTTACAGTAAATTGATAAATCAACCCTGGTTAAACTTGTCATTACTCGTCACTCCAGATAACTAGTCACTGAGCCCTTTCCCTTGGAGTAGCTATTCATACTCAATGACAAATGTATACATAACTGAGTTGGATGTTTATGCAAAAACGCTTATTGAAACTCGTTCAATAACAGGATTAGAAATAGCATCAGTTATTGTACACATCCCCTACAAAACTATTCATCTTTTATTCAGAAATTCTACAGCCGAAGGTTTTGCCTGAGCCACCTATCTAAAATAGAGATCTATTATCTCTCAGCGTGTCTCCACAATTGTGCCCTTAATAAGTTGTCTCTTGGGAGATGAGGACTTAAATGTTTCTACTCTTCAATGCTCTTCGTAAATTGTACAGAAGATGTGTATATTCCAAACTGCTTTCAAATGTGGACTTAAATTCTTAAATACTTAAAATATAAATGTACTTGGATTGCCACCTGCTGGGTTCGAGTTTGTCAGACTAGGTGTAGAAGACTAAAGCTACTGTATTTTTGGTTAGCTTCTTATGTGACTCGTGTGGGAGGATCTAAAGCGAACTCAGAGATCCATATATTCAAGCCACCAACATGTGAACATTTCTGGGTGTCTGGTATAGAATGCACACTTTCTCCCTGTAGGGATACATCTTGCATACATAATTCCAAAGAATACTAGGTGCAGTTTGGCAAGGCCAAGGTATGAGGTACCCAGACTGGATTGGGTTACTGCTGGAGGTTAACCACTAACAATCGCAGAGCTTGACATTAAGAATATTGTCTAGCAAGTTTCTTGCTACTTGTCCAGCTAGCACCACCCTACTTGTTAGGGATTTGGCTTGCAGAGTTAACAGGAGTTCAGTGGGAAGAATCCGTGCTCCCGGTAATTAGTTTGCTTCTCACATGCCCAGCTGATGATCCAGGCTGACTGGTCTGTCAAAAGCGGTGGCCTGGAGTACTGTGGACCCGCCTGGCTTTCTGTGACTTTCACGATGTCAAACATTTAAAATTGTAAACAGTCCCTCAGTTTCTCCATTTCTGTTTCCAATGATCTGACCTTGGTAGTACTATGAATTGCTATTTTATATTTCAGCGCTATTTCAGGAATTCTAAATTAATAACAAATGTGAAGTTCTCTAGATCATTGGAATCCATTATTTGAATCAAGTACACGTTTATCTGGAATCAGCTACATTTTGGATGAAGTGAAAGGTCTGATTACCATGGAAGAGCTTGTTTGTTTGATACTGGGCAATCTCATTATTTGTGTGCAGGAATTTCCAATGTAAACCAGGCGTTTCTGAGAACAAAGCCCTTTACAAAGGGCCTGTTGAAGATTAGTGGAAGAATCTGCGGCTGAGTAACATGTAATGCAAAGGTTACTCAGAAATTTTAATTACAAAAATACTCTGACCGCAATCTCAAGGTCATGCAAAATCAATTACACAGTATGACTGCAAACTTTCTCAAGATAAACTTAACAGTTCTAGGGAGAGGAGTGCAGACGCATTATGAATGCTTCTGTTTAATATGGTGGAAGGAAATATAAGACACCAACTGAGCTGTGGAGATCTGTATCCTGTCTGGTTGTGCAATTTCACCTTTGACCCACAACATGCCTTGTACCTTCCTAACTAGCCATGATGTGGCCCTCTGGTTGTTTGTTTCTCACTCTCTCTCTTAACAACCATGTTCATACAAAACAAATCAACGTTCTCAACCAGCACAAGGAATCCCTGTCTTTGCCAATGAACAGTGATAATTGCTGTATTCTGGGACTCAGCTTTTGTACCTTATCAGACAGCTTCCACACCCTCATCTTCAGGAGTGCCTCAGTGTTCTTTAATCTGCTTGAATCCTCTATTGGGAAAAGAACTACACACCGTCCATGTTACTTGCAGCCTCAGCAAGTCAAATAGTACTTTGGATCTTGACCATTTCCCACAAGGATTTCCACCTTCGCTCATTCAGATTAGGCCCTGTGCTTTCATTACGGCCCTTGCCCTTGAATCAATGACGTTTTGCTTCTGTGAGGTGAATTTTGTTGTGAAGCGATTATGAATCCCTCACACATTAATTTTTAATGTTCTCCTTAAAACAAGGTGCCACGAGATGCCCAATGCCTGCTGAGTGTTTACCAATGTTGAATTTATTTATAGTTTAGCCAGGAATCCCACTCCATTTCCCTGCCTGACTGTCGAGGAGAGATTTTCCATAGTAGACATTGGTAGCAGTTCAATGGAGAGCAATTGTCCTACACAATCTTATGTTCAAGGAACTTGTGTGACTTCTCTCAAATGGTCTCTTCACATTGTCCTATAAATTGACAATGAGGCAGATAGAAGTTAGTTACACCACACAGCATAGTATTTCCCAATCTGACAGGCAAATTCCAGGCATGTTAATTTATGGTTATGAAATATGTGAAGTATATATTTTGCCTGGATGTGGTATCAATTAATTTGAATTGTAATCCAGAATAACAATCTAGAGGTTCTTAACTGAGAACCTTTGTGATCTGCTATGATAGGTGGTGAATTTGATTTTCAGGTCATTATTAAACCCTGCAGCTAACATGTGCTTAGTAACTGAACCTATCATAGACAAAACCAGCTGGGAATGAATTAAACCAAGGCTGTAATGCAATCTAGAGATTCAGATGATACCCTAAGGTTTCAATCATTTTGCTGAAAACCAGAGATTTCATTTTTATTTACAATTTCATGCTTGAATTCATTGTTGACATTAATAGTGCAGTTTTGCCCTACGATGGTTAACTGTATTTTATGTTCATTTTTGTTGCCTTGTTTTGAGGATCTAAACAATTCTTTACATCTGAGAAAACATCTATTTTTGCTATTCAAGAAGTGATTGTTTAGGCTGGCGTTAGTCCATGGGGAATATAACAGAACCAATGTTCTGTTCATACAAGCGGAAATTGTAATCCAAACTATAGATATCAAAAATGAAGCTATTAGTATATGTATCTATGGAGTTTCAGAGATGATACAGAGAATGATGTGCAATAGGTATGTGATTCAGTTTTTTNAATAAATCTTTGGTCGTGCGCAAAAGACCATTTTCCTTTTGTGACAAGGACTTGTTGAGTAAGAGCTGCTTTGGTCCATTGTAATCTATCAGGCACCATCGAAAGTACAGGTGAATTCCAAACCTCACCAATAGCAATATTAAACACTCTGTACAATACCAGGCTGAGGAAGACCTGTTGGATCTTGTCTATTCCTCTACATGGACTTGAGAATGCAAGATTCACAATAAATTAACACACTAATAATAGTGTGAGTCATGCTCAACACAGAGCACTTCCTTATTGCGCCACCCAGTGTAGAGAACAATTAAACTGTTGTAATACTGGCCCATCATAGAAGTTATTTCAGACTCTGATGTACACAGTTGCTACAAACAATATGAACAAGATCCCACACAAGTTAAGGGTTAAACGGAGAAAAACTGCTGAGTTCCTGTTGGATGTGATATCCATGCAGTTATAACGTTAAGCTTTTCTGCTGGTAAATTCTTCACTCAAGGTTTGTTAAGATTCATATGCCACGTAAATGCACTACCAAACCCTGACTGATCCAACTGGAAGATAGTGTCCAACTAGCTAAGTACATCATTTACACATTGGTGGGTATTTCATTACATGTCTGAGGAAATTCTGCTAATTCTCTTTAAGTAGATTCTGAATCCAACCACTCAAACCTCAACTCTTCCCCCTACCCTCGATGTGGTTAAGTTATTTTTATGTGTCCTGCACTTTGCTAGGATAGTTTTTCATGGGTTCTGTATTTGATTCGTTCTAGGAAGCTTAACCGGAAGCCCTCCCTTTGACACGAAGAACCCTTTGAATATGTCCCTTCCTGGATTCCAGATGTCCAACCTGAGTCTGCCTGGTCAGCCATTGTCCCCACTGCAGAGCCCTATTCTTAGTGAGGCAGGGAGCACAAGATTGGATGATGAGGAAGAAGTCCGGCGAAAGGTTGGAAATATGAATGATTTGGGTGAATGAAGAAAGTTTGTGCGCAGTGTTTCGCCCACAAAATACACAGTCAATTCACTTTACAGTATATTCTGTGAAGAACTTTGAGACGTCTCGATGACATGATAAGGCGCTATATCAGATGCAAGATTTATTATTATTATTATAAGTTAGCAGCTGGAACAGATAAGATGACAAACTGTAGCCAAATACCTTCAGCACAAAATAAAGATGGCAGCTCACAGGCTGTAGTTGTGCTCTACCTCACCCAAGTATCCATTCTTAATGGCATGAGCTCAGAAAATGAGCAACTACCCTGAGCCTCCACTACCCCAATGTTCACACAGGCGTTGTTTCAAACAGAAAAGATAACAATTATAAATACTGTTTAGAAAGTACCAGCAATTGATCGAGCGTGTTTGACCTTCATTCTCCATTGCTTATGTTTTGCTTTGTCTAATTGGTTTGATGTTGAACTGCTGAGATAGTGGTTTAACACCAGTTGGATGTTTTCGTAGCGTTACCCAGCTGATAAAGCCTACTTCATTGCGAAGGAAATCCTGACCACAGAAAGGACCTATCTGAAAGATCTCGAAGTAATAACAGTGGTAAGTGATCTCTGTGTGTGTTCCCGTGCTGGCTTCCATTTTAAAAAGTGACTGGTGTTTACAGCAATACAAATTTGTGGACAGTCTAAGGTTTGTGCCTGAGCTGGGGATGGGAGTTGAGAGGGAGGGAGTGGGTGGGGCAAGGGGATTGAAAGATGGCTGAAAACGCGGTGAAAGAGGAAGGATAGTTTACTTGTGGTTTACTTGGTGGTTCATTGGTGTTGTATTGTCTCCCTCTCCCAGTGGTTCCGCAGTGCAGTTATCAAAGAGAAGGCCATGCCGGAGGGGCTAATGACGCTGCTGTTTTCCAACATTGATCCCATTTACGAGTATCACCGGGGATTCCTGAAAGAGATAGAACAGAGACTCGCTCTTTGGTGAGGCCTCACTTTCTTCAGCTGTGTGCTTTAAAGGCGGTTTCTAACGCATGGGTAGTTTCGACATTGGACATAACCTCAAGTACTTGTGGGTTATACCTCTACCCCCCAAAAAAAGTAATTAAAAATATTGTTCATTTTTAAGAACTTACCATGTGGTGGTAGACTTCCCATTGCTTATGTTTATATGCTATATGCTTATGTTCTGCAAGGAAGGATTTAATCTTCAAGAAAGATTAACTTGCTAACTTGCTTCAAGGTGTAGTTGATGAACTTATGCAGTAGCTGTGTGGACATTCTTTATGGTTTTTTTTCTTCTTCAGGGAAGGACGATCCAATGCTCACGTGAAAGGAGATTATCAGAGAATTGGGGACGTTATGCTTCGGAATATGTGTGTTCTTAAGGTATTGAAAGGCAGACTCATTATGGAGAGTAATGACTATTTTATTCAACGTTGGTCATATTTCTTTCAAATGTATCACAGTTTGTTGTTAATGATTCACATGGGACCTTGAGTAGAAAGCAGCAGGATCATTCTTGTCAAAAAGATATGTATAAAAAAGGTGCCAATTTTCTCCTCCACTTTTATTTCCTTTTCTTATTGTTTTTCCCTAATACTGGGGTACACTTAAATGGTTGCCCTGCAGTCTCTTTGCACAAGTGCACATTTATTCAAGGTTGAACGTTGGCAGATTCTTCAACCGCAAGTGACATCACAGCCAAGTCCAATCCTGTCTGCACCAGAAATCCGCACAAATGTACTTCCAACTGGATAACTATCGCTATTAGGATCTGTGACTAATTTTCCCCTCCCTTATCCAGGGACTGAGGACTAACTGCAGCTGTTATCAGCTAACTCAGCACAGAACAGTGTTTGAACTGCATCAGCAGGATGTTTCCATTCCTTACGTAGCTTTCATTATGACCTTCAGGTGGTAATTTGGACAATTTGGTTGCTGTGGATGGACTCCTGCCCATCAGGAACAATGTTTTGTGCCCAACAAGTTACATTTTAGTTGTCAGACAGTTGGAGGCTTTATCCCATCAGTTAGGGGCAAGATCCAAAGCGAACTCTCCTGGATTTATAAGGACAGAGTTACAATTTCATTCTGTATTACGACATAATATTTGAGAGAAATGAGAACATATCCTCCAATAAATAAATATTGGTGTGGCTGGCTCTGTCAGTAGCAAGTTGGCAATTGGTAAAACAAAAAGTGATGCCATCTGTCTAAAGTATGTGGCTTTGTTTCTACTTGGCATGTAGTAATAATACTGTGAGTAAAATGGACCTTGAGATACGTGCTGTGGTGCCAAGCATTCTATTCAATGACAAGTGAAATGGACTGATGAGGGTTGCAAATGGTTCCATAATGGGCCTGAAGGGAAAATAAACAATGTAATTGATCATTCTTACTGTGCTCTATGAGGCATGTTCACATGAGAGGTTTAAGATCGCTAAGCTTCTGCTCAATGTGTCGGAAGCTCTTTCATATCCTTAAATAACTGCTCTTAATGAGATTATATATTTTTTATCATTAGGAGTTTACCAGCTACCTCCAGAAACACGATGAGGTGTTGACAGAACTGGAGAAAGCCACCAAGCGCTCAAAGAAACTGGAGGCTGTTTACAAAGAATTTGAGCTGCAGAAGGTGTGCTACCTGCCCCTCAATACTTTCCTACTGAAGCCCATCCAGAGGCTAATGCACTACAAGCTAATCCTGGAGAGACTCTGCAGGCACTACCCTCCTGATCATCAGGACTATGGAGACTGTCAAGGTCAGTATAATGTGTTGGATACTGCAGTACATAACACATGTGTCTACGTTTGGCATATGTTTTGCCCACAAAATATACACATAATTCACTTAACAGCATATTCTATGAAGCGCTTTGAGACGTCTCGAAGACATGATAAGGCGCTGTATCAAATGCAAGGATTATTATTCTGCAATCATGATCACAAGGGCTGTCCTTGATAGCTGTCACAGACAACTTGAAGGAGATCAGGGAGATGTTTCTTTCTGACCCTGATTTCCCTTCCCAGAAGCACTGATGGAGGTTGGCGAGGTGGTGGCTCAGTTGCAGAGCAGTTTGATTAGACTGGAGAATTTTCAGAAACTAACAGAGTTGCAACGAGACCTCATTGGCATTGAGAACCTGATCCTGCCTGGAAGGGTAAGTGGGAAAATACAGCGAAATAAACAAAAAAAATTCCGACAAGATCTGGTCCACATCAATTCTAAAGAAATGTTCTTTGAAAAGAAACATTTAAAAATTATCATTAGGATTCTGGATAATCCTATACCTCATGTACTATACGCAGATCTTTTCAGCTCAAATGAAATAGAAACTTGCGCTGGTGAAAAATGTGTTGAATTCTACATTATACATTCATTTCTCCTCAGGAGTTTATTCGGGAAGGCTGTTTGTACAAACTTACGAAAAAAGGACTCCAGCAGAGGATGTTCTTCCTGGTAAGTGAACCATCAAAACTTACAAGTTCATGTCCTCTATACTACCCATAGAAACGAGGTGATAATCTCACACCTTACTATGAATTTCCACGTGTATGGAGGTGACAGCCTGTCATATACCTGATCCTTGACCATTGATTTGGCTGCAGGTATCTACCATTTCCATTCATTCTAGCTGTATGTACAGTAACTGTTTCATTGTCTTTTCAGTTCTTACAGACGGCACATCCATTTTCATTTTCATTTGATATTTTAATATTTTATTGTTTTCCAAATATGTGAGCCACCTCGTATGTTTTCTCACCTAGTTCTCTGATATGTTACTGTACACGAGCAAGGGAGTGACGATCACCAACCAGTTCAAAGTACACGGTGAGCTGCCGCTCTATGGCATGATCGTAAGTACACCGAGAAATTCTTACAGTGGTTTGAATGAGTCAGGCTTAATTTTACTGTATTAATCGGTCCTTGTTCAACAATCTGGCAGAGACAATGAAAGAAAACTAAATGAAAAGCAGGCATGTGCACAGAATGCACCATTAGTGGAGTCCTGTAGCTCAGTGGTTAGAGCACTCACTTTACAAGTGAGAGACCTGAGTTCAATTCCAGGCAGGGCGAAACCTTGGGCAAGTTTCCTTACTCCACACAGAGCCTAATAATAATCCCTCCAAAACCAAAAACAATAATAAAATTGGTCATTTTCAATCTACAACTGTTTGTGGGACATTGCTGTGCGCAATTGGCTGCCGCGTTTGCCCACAAATATACAGTCAATTCACTTTACAGTGTGTTCTGTGAAGCGCTTTGGGACGTCCTCCCGACGTGAAAAGCGCTATATCAAATGCAAGGATTATTATTATTATTATAAGCTCTAAAGGATAGCTGTGTCACATCGACTCGACAGGAAACAATAGTGAGGGTGTTCTTGTCTTTCTGGTGTATGTCTAACATGTATTTCCGTTTCTTTGGTTTCTCTCTGTCTGTTTCTCCATGTTCTATCTGTTATGATTGGCTTGTAACAGACTTATAAACTAATACTATTTGAAAAATGATAGGATATATTTCTTATGAAAACTACCTTAAACATGACACTCAATGGTTGCTCTTTATCCAACTCCAGAGCAGATGTGCTTCATGTTCTTCGTGGCATGATTGGGACCTTTAGTTTTTGCAGGATATAGTGAGCAAGCAGATAGATGGGATCGAACCCCAAAGAAAGTTGTGCTAAATAACTTGTTTTTAATAAATCTTATGATATAAATGATTGTAATTGTCAAAGCCATTCCAATCTCCCCCGGCCCTAGCCTGCAGTAATCCAATATATTACATAGAATTAAATATGTGCATTACATTACGTCGGTGTTGGTACTCAACAGGAGACTCCATCCCTCCTAATCCCTTCTCACATACGTCTCTATTCCTGTAGAGGATTTGAGGATCAGGACTGGTAACTGTATCAAAGTAAAGCTCAATGTCAGTTGAGGCATGCAGCTACAAGTGAGTGATCTCACTTGCATCGACAAAGTCAGGCTTTATTCCTATGATAGGGCCACCCAGTTATAAACGTCCTTCTTCATGCTGTCAACACATGAACATGAGTAATACTTTGCAAAGTTATATTGTTAAACAGAGCAATGAGTGGGAGAATTCCACTCAAAGAATGAATTTACTGATGCTGGGGTCATGCTGAAGCAAAGCTGAGTGTGTGGGTGGGTGTCAAGAGGAGCTATGACAGGGTGACAGTGCTTCGTCTTAGCTTCTGCAATTCAGCTTTTGGGAGCATGGGAACAATTTGCTGCACACACTGACTCGGAATGTATTTTGTCCTTGTCCAAGGCGATACCCAGAGCCAGTTTTATTTAACCTCTCGAGTACAGAGGAGAAGTAATACCAAGAAAAATGAACTAACCATGTGGGGGTGAGAGTGTATTTCTGGAAATAATGGAGACTCCTCTGTGCACATGAACACTTGTGTGTGTGTGTGTGTATGTGTGTGTTTGTGTGCTTCCATCTCTGTTCTTCTGCAGGAGGGCTTTAGATAGCTGTAAAGAAATTAAGGGATTTTTACCGATAAGGTCTAATTTGCGGTGTTAGTAAACTAGGTCTGTTTTGTGAATTGCACCGTCCAGTTTGTGAATAATCAGTGGCGTATCTGATATGTCTCCTGTTTACGAATACAGTATTAAAGACGTTTGGAAAGCTCCCCTTAGTGGCAGAGTGAAGATAATACAAAGTAAAATAAACGGAGGCCAAGTCAAGTGTGAAACTTAAGCTCATACCCCAACCGTATTAGTAGAAATTGATTGTACTGAGTGTTGCTCTTGGAAATCCTCACAATCATGTGAACTGTTTTGTTTTGCTTTTCTGTACTTGGACCATTGCCAGCTGATCGTGCTGGAACCCCCGGTGAGTACAGAGCTCTGGGGAAGGTTCCTGTCAGAGGCAGTCTCAGCTTCTCAAAGTGACTTTTGATTAGGACTTTCTTGTAGGATAAATATAGACTTAGAAGCTACTGTAGGTGTGTCGTGGATTTGCAGAGGAGTCCATGCTGTTTCCGCCTCTCTACTGCTTCTGCTTTAGTCATTTTGCATTTAGCCTCATTGAATCAGTCTCCAGCATTGCCCTCTTGCTCCTTGCTGTACCAAATTGGGCTTTACCTTCACTATCTTTCTCACAGTTCTGTTTAATTGTGTCCTTCTTCCGCTAAATCCTGAACCAATATCTTGTTTATTCAGTCTGTTATTAGCCTTGCTGAATCATCTGCTACCTTTGTTGTCTTGTTGATTTGATTTTCACCGTTTGCTCCGAACACTATCCCTTTACCTTGGAAACCTTAGTTCGAATTGAAATTCATCCCAGACGGAGTTCATGACAGACTAAGTAAACAGTGATTGGAGCCTGGATAAGAAATGATGTGGCTTGTTACTGTTTCTTGTTGCAGGTTGAAGAGAGTGAAAATGAATGGTCAGTTCCACATTGTTTCACCATCTACTCTGCACAAAAGACGATTGTTGTGGCAGCCAGGTAGGTGTTCTGAGCCAGTCCGGAACTTTGGTGTCTTGTTTGACCCTCAACTGTCCTTTCTATCCCACATCCGTGCTATGACTTGTTCTGCCTTCCCCCACCTACGCAACATCTCCCGGCTCCACCACTGCCTCTCCCCTCATCCAAGCATTTCTTACATCTAGGCTCGACTACGCCAACCCTCTGCTTGTCGGCCTCCCCAATGTTTCCCTCCACAATCTGCAGATTATTCGGAACTCGCCTTGCAGCTTCGCCTCGCTCCCTCCCTTGCTTCCTTCAAGGCACGTCACAAGACCCTCCTCTTCGACCGCGCCTTGGGTCACCCTCTTACCCCTACCCTTCCTGTCCACCACCCCTCCTGATCCATCATAGTCAAAAGTGTTTCTGTTCTCATTCAAGTACCACACAAGCATTGATTTCCAGCATTGCTTACTGTACACTGTATATATGGTTATTAAGTAGTTTGCTCTGAAAGGGAGGTCCTGTTTGAGGATCACTTGCTCCACAGTAGTTGAATGTGCTGACGTCATTTCTGTTCTTTTCTGTTTCCAAGCTCCAGAATAGAAATGGGAAAGTGGATAGAAGATCTGAACATGGCCATTGATTTGGTGAAGAAGTCGAACGAGAAGGGAGACGCGTTCCTGGAGACCAACATTTGCGATCGCTCGAACAGTAAGTTACTTAATAGACATGATGGCAGCTCCTCCACAAGAATGGGCCAACTCATCAGTGGGGAGGAAGCCAAAAGGCAAAGAAATCAAAGGAATACATTTTGCTCTACATTGAGTGGAAATCTCATTCTGGGGTAATTCCCACATTCAAAATGGCTTTTTTTTTTAACTGTTAAAAAGAAGCTTTTGAAGTACGATCTGGTGGTTTTAATTGCAAGTTGGGAAAGGTTTTGAATCATCTATCCTAAGGGCATCATTGTGACATCCAACTCATTAGTGTGATTCCACTTAATATGTTTCTCCAAATGACCCACCTCCATTTTGTGACCAATTCACGGCTCAAACCCTTTAATGGATTATAATAATAAATAATAATAATTCTTGATTATCAGTAGGAGTGGATACCTCAAAGCCACAAACAAACAAAAACATTGTCTTCAAATTGAAGATTGTGTGGAATTTGGGAAAATTCTTAACCTGAATCCTAATCTGGAGCCTTTTTCATACAGTGCTAGGAAGGACTGAGGAAAAACACCTCTTAAATTCAGATTGAGTTTAAAATGTTTCCAAAACTTCTGTGCAATTTTAAATTTTTAAGGGGAACGGGTGTGGGCCTAAGCCCATGAGGCATTTCATCTCTTCGATTCTCCCAATTAATTGTTCTATTGGAGGTCTGTGGTTTGAACAGCACCTATTTGGATTTGTGTCACGAGAAGATTCTTTAATTAAAGGTGCTAACTACGGTGAACACTCAAACTGCGTTTCAGCTTCCAATTTAATGTGCGAAAAATTATGCCCTGTGCTTTGTTCTATGTGTTTAATGGATACTAATTTGCCAGCAAGTCTCTGCGATGAGAACATGATGTGAGAGGTGCCCACCCTGCAGTTATTTCTCTTTATGCCTCTGCCCTCGTTTTTCTCAGGATCCTCAGATGAGGTGTCAGTGGAGCAGGAATCCGAAGACGACACTCACTCTTCCCGCAGTTCGTTGGACAAACAGACCCATCACCGTGCCAACACCACAATGCACGTGTGCTGGCATCGCAACACTAGTGTCTCCATGATGGACCACAGTGTTGCAGTGGAGGTACCCAAAGGGCACTCTCACCACCTCCTGCACTCCAGTTACCCAACGATAACCCAGGGCAGGGCACACATGCACATACCCTACCTGCCAGAGCTATTTTATATTGATTTCCAATTAGTTTTGCCAGCTATGGCACTGGCTTTCCCAAGTTAAATTAGAACTTTCCAACATACATTGCCCCTTTTACAGGCCTTACTTGTCATTATCTTAAATGGAGAAGGGGAAGATGATCCCAGACTGTGATTTCTCCTTGTCCAGTCAATTCTCGGCTCAGCCTTCCCCGGTTCAGAGTAGACCATTTCAATAATTTCTCAAGGGTCGTACGCTTATGATCAATTTTGTTTACAAGTGATGGTGTGAAGTCCTGGGTTATCCGGTGGAGTCAAAGCACTCTGTCTCCATCACTCATTTCCCATTCTTCTTCCTTTCAAACAGGCTTCTGAAACATGTTGGATTCTCTGTGACACTCTCTCTTTCAGCTCACTCATCCTCTGTTTCCTTCCATTAATGAAAATCACTTGCCTCCTGTATTTTTGCCTTCTCGTGCAGCACGTTTTGCATCCGCATTGTGACTTGGTCAACCCGGTTATCTTCCTTTTCATTGTAAAGTTCTGTTGACATGGTTGACTGCCAAATAAGTTAACTGAGCACCTGATATCTGTGCGAGAGATCCATCAAACCCTGTGGTGTCTGGATACAAAGGTTTTGCTGTGGTTTTGGTGATTGCACACTACGGTCATAACATTGGTCTGATGCGAGTCTCTATCCACACTGCACAGCTAACACAAGTGGCCTGAAAGGAGTTACTTAGACTGACTGTTAGGGAACCATGTTATTGTTAATGAAGACACTCATCAGCTCACTGGAGTGTCAACGGTGGGGGGGATGTAAGTTAATTCAGTTCTTTATACATCGGGCTCTGAAACCCTTCTAAGCCCCGACCACCAGCACTTGTTCAAGAAGAAAATTGAACATAAAAATGCAAGATTTGTAATAAAAAAGATAAAGTTAGTCATGACTGTCTGTGACTGATTTATGTTGAAAAGGCATGAAAGCTGCTACTGGCTTTTATTGCACCTGTTGTGAACACAGACTCTCTCACAGAGTTCAGGGCGGTCATTCACGTGTGGAAAAGATTGTGATAATACAATAACATTGAGCTCATGTCACTCATGTGTGGAAGGTAGTGCTGTAGCTCAGTGTGGTATTGTCTGTGTAAATGGCCATCCTGTGACTAACTGAAGAATAATGCAAATTTCAGCTACTGATCTCTGATCCCGTTATCTTATTCATCGCTGTCCTGTTTCTGTCTTTCTTTTTCTCTCTCTCTCTCTCTCTCCCTCCCATCTCCGTACCTGCTTACACACGGACGTGCTCAGTTTTCTATTCTCCTGCCACTTCTCCGGAGCTTCCTCCGCGCTATCTTCTGGGCCAGGGTCAGAGACCTAATAGCATCACCCATGTGTGCTGGTACCGCAGCCAAAATCTGTCGCTGGCTGATTACCTACGAATGATGGAGGTAAACCTGATAATCGGCCAATGCGTTTAACCCGCAGAAGTAAATCAATTAAAGCAGAGGTCGATCCAATGAACAAAAAGGTTAATTTCGATACGTTTATTCAGTAACACTGTTTCTGCCTTGCTGCTTTACAACACAAGTGGCTTTGTTCAGCTTTTTATATTGCAGTTATTGGCTGTAACTGAGGGTGCCAATGCTTCTCCTTATTGCTTTTCCTGCTGAGAAACTACATTTTTGCAGATGGATAATTTTACTCTTGTAGAAGCAGGATTGAGTTGAATGTGATTTTACAGCAGGCTTATTATAATAGCAAACATAATAATTAATACTGATCACTGCATTTGATCTAGTGTCTCTAATGATAAATATATTAAATGCGCTTTGCAGTAATTACTGTTAAGTGTATTCCTATGAAGTGTAATGACTATTCTTGCAAGCAAAGGCTTGGTTTACAAATGGATTTTTATACATTTTGTTCAACTTCATAAAATAATTCTCTATGATTCAAAACAATATAATAAGCCTTGTATTTGATAACTATGGGACGCTCATTAAACACCGTCTGAAGCCACACTTGTGAATATTTAACTCAAAGATGTTAACGCCTTAGAAATCCAACATTCTATCCTTAAAGTGGGCGTTGCTCTATTATAAAATATAACGATACACTGTACCCTCCCGAACCAACCAGTGTGTTTTGGTTTGAGTGAATTTAGCTTGTTTGGCTCTGTGCGATCGACCCGTTTCTGTTTCCACCAGTTCCTAATAATTTTTTCCATTTAACTAAACCTTAAAGCAGTGAAATGTTACCTCTGCTGTCCTGTTTCATACAACAACACAACTTGGTGGCCAAACCTTTGCACTGCAGCAAACCAGTTGTCAAATTCACTGGAAGGTCATTGTTGGGTCTAAAATGTAGTATTTGCAACAGGTAAAGCATTCGTAAATAATAAATCCTGCAGGTAACTGGATACGCGGCACATTGATTGTCAGGAGTTCCCACAAGAGCAGAATTCAGCATTCCTGCTTGATTTAATGCTTTTAAGCAATGACTGGGAAAGTTAACTGGTGATTCGCAAGTGTCAGGGCTTAAGATTTCATAAGATCAGTCACAAAGAAAAAAGGTTTCTTTGCAGCAGTATAAATTGAATATGAAAATGGCATGGTTAAGGAACTGCGAGAGTGGGATCACTGTTGTAATCAGCATTTTATTGGAGTCACTTTGATAAATGTCTACATTCTGTGCCTTTTGTACTTCTGTTAAAACTGTGTCTTTGGGTCCTTTCTAATTAGAACCAGCTGTCAGGGTACCTGCTGAGGAAGTTCAAGAATAGCAATGGCTGGCAGAAACTCTGGGTTGTCTTCACCAACTTCTGCCTCTTCTTCTACAAGACACACCAGGTACAGCCCTAGGCTTGTAATTCCTGAACCATGAATATCGCCATTTATCACGGAAGGCAGCACGGGAGACCTCCGTTGGTAGAACGTAAAAAGGCAATAGAGGAAGAAAACCTAACTATGTTGTTCGATGTTGCCACTTAAGACGACTGTAGTTTCCAGTTTGGTAAAAATGCCGGGAGAGGAACTGCTTTGGGTCCATGGTTAGAGAGTGTTATACTGATGTTTCTTAATTGCTGAACGGCACCCATCTAGCTGACCAAGTGCCACCCTCTCTCAGACAGGTGCGTGAAGATGTTTGGAATCTGGCACAACAATTAGTAAAGGCCACACTACAAAACCCAGTCTCTACTGTCACCATCCTAACTAGGAAAAGCATTGTGCTGGGGGTAGCAAGGGTGCGCAAATGTTACAGGATAAAGAAGGGTAAAAGCATTTGAATACAACATTGAATTCTTCTAACATGTGTTGACATTACAATGCTACTCTTTGACTGTTTTGCAGGATGACTATCCCTTAGCTAGTCTCCCACTGTTAGGCTATACGGCCAGTATGCCCTCCGTGAGTGACAGCATCCACAAAGATTATGTCTTCAAGCTCCAGTTCAAAACTCACGTCTACTTCTTCAGAGCTGAGAGTGAATACACTTTTGAAAGGTAAGATCTGGATCCATATGTCTTTTTCTGACCCCAAAATGGATTCCAGTTTTATAAAACAATTTGGAAATTAAAAATCCCGTGGCCATTCAATCTGCATTCAATGCACTAGGTGGCAGCGTAGTCCAACAGAATCTACCTTTGCCCAACAATATCTCACAGCCGGACAAGTGCAGGGATTCCGTAAGATTGATGTGTGTCCCAGTAACATTTTGTGTTGGTTTGATGTAGTCAGTAACACACTTGCCTATGGGTCAAACAGTTATTGGTTCAAAACAAAACATTGGGTCTTGAGCTCAAAAGCTGGATTGACACTCCAGTGCAGAACTGAAAGACTGCTTTCATTGTTGAAGGTGCTGCCATGTCGATGAGCCATTAAACCAGGGGTGGGCAATTATTTTGGCTGATGGGCCACTTCACGAGTTTCAGTAAGCTTTGCGGGCCACACACTTAATATAGATCCAAATGCTTAATAATAGCTCAAAATCAAGTCTTACACTTGTACTTGCATAAAATAAAGTCTATATAATTGACAATCATTAAAATGAGGTTAAATAAAAACAAGTCATTGAGCAGACATTTATTTGAATTTTATTCATTTATTCACGTATTGATGAGAATGTGAGAAGCTCACTGAATGGGAAGAATGAAAGCGCTAATGTGCGTTAACCAGACAATTGAAGTCAGACATCGTCTCCGTTGTTGCAATGCGGAGCTCTGCTGCAAGGTGGTCATCAGTCATCACAGATCTATGTTTTGATTTATTGAATTTCATCACAGAAAATGTCTCCTTACATATGTACATTGATACAAACAGCACAAGGATCCTCTGGGCATGAACGTTTATTTTACTAAAGGTGTATTAATTAAGAGAGGCGTAAAAACTGAGTAGAGGCACTGATTTGAATTGCTCTGCAAGCAATAGATCACATTGCAAGCCAAAAAGGTCGAGTTGAAGGTCAAATGGGGATTTGTTAACATCAAATGAGAAAGGTGAAGAGACCAAAGACAGGTCATTTCCGATCAAATTGAAATCCTGGAATCAGCGAGAAAATTTGGTATGTACGTCAAGTAGTGACAAAATATACTTTTTAAGGTTTGATCGCTAACAGTAATCTGCTGCAAAGTTGGAAAGTGGACTATCTGAAGCACCAAAATAAATAATTTTGTCATAAATGACTTGACACTGCAATACAAATCGTGCACGAAGGTCCCCTTCTGTTGCAGTTTTGAATTCAGTTTATTCATGTGGCCCATGATATCAACGGCAAATGCGAAATCAGACAGACAATTCGTATCATTCAGCTGTGGGAAATCAGAATCTTTTTGTTTGATGCCCAAAAATCTCTGTTCTCAGTTCTCACCTTCTTTTCAAGACCTTTCCTAAACTAAGCCATCTTACATTCGTGTGATACAGAACATCCGTGAGCTTGGATACCGATTCCTCAAGCAGAGTTACAAATTGCCTGTGGTTTAATCCTCTTGCTCGAATGTAGTTGACCACTTTCGTAACTGTGTCCATGACATTGCTTAGTTTTAGAACACTCTTACAGAGGACCTCTTGGTGGATAATGCAATGTAGAAATCCCATATTCTGTTCTGGATTTGTTTCTTTGACTTAATTTGGAATTCTTTTCAGTAACCCAACATTTTTGCCTGTCAGATTTGGGCTTCCATCAATGGTCACATTCATCAATTTTTTCCACTCCAGTCCTAATTTTAAGATACACTTATTTATTACCTCCAAAAAGTATTCTCCAGTTGTCGCATCTTTCATATCTTGCAAGTTTCCTTACTCCATCCCTCCAAAAAAACAAAACAATAATAAAAATTGCTCATTTTCAATCCACGACTGTTTGTGGGACATTGCTGTGCGCAATTGGCTGCCGCGTTCGCCCACAAATATACAGTCAATTCACTTTACCGTATATTCTGTGAAGCGCTTTGGGACGTCTAGAAGACGTGAAAAGCGCTATATCAAATGCAAGGATTATTATTATTATTATTGAGGTAAATTTTTCAGTCAGCTCAAAATGTTTGGTGATACGTTGAATAAAAATTATCAACTGGGCTGTGTCTTTGACATCACAACTCTCACGTGCCAGTGCCAGTTAAAAAATGCAAAATTGCTTACTTGATTTTGTAACTGGAGATACATATTCTCAGAGATATGCTCGACATGCCTCACAATAGTTCGCCTTGACAAGCTAATGTTCTCAAACTGTTTTTTTCTTGCCTGGGCGTAAAATCGAGGCAGAGTCAACCATACATTCCTTTATAAATTCTCCTTCAGCCAATGTTCTTGGCGATTTTGTGTGCAATCAAATAACTCAGTCTTGAAGTCTCATCCTGGGACATAAATTATTTTGTGAAAATGCTTTGCTCTTTTTGCATTCGGACAACCATCTCATCAGCTTTCTTTCCTTTTTGTTCGGCAGAAACGTTCTTATATTTGCAAGCGTGTTTGCTCTCAAAATGGCGATTCAAATTGTTGTCTTTGAGCACTGACACACTTTCTTTGTACATTAAACACACAGCTTTACACCCACACTGGTAAAAGAATATTTAGAAGTCCATTGTTTGTTGAATATTTGTTCTTCAGCGTCCACTTTCTGCTTCTTTGATAAACTCATTTCCAGTTAACGTCCTCGTCAGTGAAAAGTATTGCTGCATTTGCCACGCGTCTTCGAAAATCTCCCGATCCGTACATTTCTGATGTCAGCTTGATTCAACACTGAAGGGAACGTGCGCACATCTAAGCAGAGTGATTGGCTGATATTCCCAGTCAGGTCCAAATGCGAAATTTGTGTGACTTTCTGGAACTGAACCAACTATCATTTTTTCTATTGCTAGACACAATGACGGGCCGGATAGAATCATTTGGCGGGCCCGATATGGTTCTTGGGCCATGTTTTGCCCACCCCTGCATTAAACCAGGAACCATTATAGTGTTTCAGGTGAACATTAAAATGCCACGAGTGGCAAACTTTGAGAAAGCACCTGATGGAGTTTGTTGATATCATCTCAACCCTTGAGAACACACCTCGTGATGTGTTATTCCATCTTAATAAACTTTATGTTCTTTTATTCAACCAGGTGGGTGGAGGTGATCAAGAGCGCAACTGGATCAACAGGTCGGGCAAGCCTTCTGAGCCAGAAGAACACTCAGATGAAAACCATTCAAATGAACTGAATCATTAGGAGTTGCACCTGCTACAATCTTCAAGCATTACTGCAGGACACAGTGAATATTGGAGCCCGGACTCATTGTCCGCTGTACGAGAGACAATCTACTTAGATTAAAATGAAGAACGGGTTTCAAGGTTATAATTGCACTCACACATAACTGGATAAGGAGAAAGATTGTTTGGCAAAAATTGGGTTTGATTCTGGCAGGTACACGCCCCTGTAAAACAAAAAGTGCATAGTAACCTTTCAAAACTTGGGTGGTTCCATTAATCAAAACTCGGGTGCTTCAGGGATCACGTTGTCAACTTGTGCAGCGAGTCCTAATACAGCATTGTTCACCTACCAAAGATGCACTTCCTGTACTGTAATTAACAACAGAAACCTTCTGTTCTGAAGGTGAATTGTGGACGGAGTGAGTAAAGATATCTACAGTTTCTACCACTCAGTGGTCTGCTCCTTTGGCTATAAAAGAAGAAAACTCATAAATGTAAGTGCCCTGTTAGACTTTTGCACAGTTGTAGCCAGGATGAAATTTCAATTATTTGTGCGCTCCATGCCTGGGTTCGGAAAACAAGGGACTCTGTCCTATTCCTGTCATTACATAACACTATAAACAGCGATGTTTGTATTTGTTTTGTCCTGTACACTGTGAGTTTCGGACCTGCTTAGTCCATACTCTTGGGTCATCCTTAGTTATGCATCTGTCAATTTGACAGCTGCTTACTTTTCATTTAAGTAGGTTTACAGCCTTCATGTTGTAATTCACAAACACATGTGGCAGTTTCTACTTAGCAAATGTATTGCCTTGGAGATATCAAGAAGACAGAATGAGAAAGGAATGAGTGAAGTGTTGAAAGGTTTGGGATCACTAAATGGAGTGTGCGATGTCTTAACTCCAATTTGATGGGTCACTGGTTGGGTTCAGATGTTTATGGCAGGTGTGAAGGCAAAAATGTTGTACTTCGGTGTGAAAGAGCCACTGTGTCAAGGAAGATGAGATTTGGTTTCAAAATTGACACATTTTCCCATTGAAATAGAGGTTGAAGGCCAATTGTAAATCCTGAAGAGAAACAGCAGAAATAGCCAATCTAGAGTGAGTCTTACCCCACATCTAATTCATGTTGTACATCATCTGAGAGTGCTCAATGTATGAGTAATGAAGAGGAATCTTAAACTACATCTAATCTAGTCTGGCACGACAAGGTACACAGTATAGAGGGAGCTTCACACTCTGTAATTAATCTCTGTGCTACCTAACCTGCTGCTTCTCAGTGGGCAAGTATAGAGGGATTTTATTCGACATCTGATTGTGCTATATTTGACTTGTGAGTCTTGATGGGACAATGTGCAAAGCAGTTTTATGTTGTATTTAACCTGTGCTACACCTGAACTGGGACTGCTCAGCAGACAGAGTAGAGAGAGGATGGCTATCTGATTTGGATTAGGGTCATACCTAAAGTGAAAATGTTTTATGCTGGCAAAGCTGATAGTTGTGAAATTTTTGAATACAGCTTAAATTTTGAAGGTGGGCTTTTAAGAACTACAGAAAACCGATTTCTAATTTAAAGCTTTAAAAAATTACCAAATTTTGTTTTCTCTAAAATGCTACGTAGATAAAGAACATCTAGACTCAGCTGGAATGGGGCATATGAAAATGAGTCCTCTATAGCAGATATGTGCAGCTTGTTTCACATGTTATACTGAGTGTCTGTATGGAGGGGTTCGATATTCCTTTCCATGTTGTAGCGGAGCCCAGTATGTGGCTCGTGGAATCCCATAATTAAACTAATGAAAGAAACAAAATGGGAAAAGTAATGTGAGATGAAGGAGAGAGCTTGGAAGAAAGGGATAATGGAGGAAATTGGAATTATATGAAAAAATAGTTTGATCCTGACCACAGCAGGTCTCGGTGGAGTGAGACAAAATATATTATGTTGGTGGTGTTTGAATTGTATTGTTGTTTAAATGGATCAGGAAAGTGTAGGGGGTTTTAGCTGTGGTTGGTAAAATGATCTTTTTATTTTAGTATCATTTTAGACAAGCATCCAAGGATTTTTGAAAAGTGACTTTGCTGCTCAATACACATCCGGACACATAATAATGCCTAGAAAAAAACAAAATAAACTATAGAATAATTAGGGCTGTGACATTACATGCCATAGTTTTCATTCTTATGATCGGAGAAGAGGATAGGCAATGAACAGATGGGTCTGGATTAGGGCACATGGTGTTCACCTCTGGGATCCAAGTTTGAATCCCATCCAGGATGACGGGATGCAAAATGCAAAATACTGCAAATGCTGGAAATCTGAAACAAAAACAGAAGTTGCTGGGAGCCCTCAGCAGGTCAGGCAGCATCTACGGAGAAAGGAAAGTGAGTCAATGTTTCAGATCCACAACCCTTTTTACAGCTCTGTATTGTGATGGAAGTTGAGTGTAGGTCATTAAAAGAAAATAAGCATCTCCACTGGTGACAGAAGAACATGTTGACCCCACCGTTGTGTATTATACAAATGCACCTTCCCAAGCTGTTACTTTCTATGGTTTACCACCCTTGTAATTTGCCCTTACAGTGGATCATTTATGTCCCTGAACAAGCACCTGAGATGCCAAAATACTGTGCCAGAAAGAATATTAAATTAATTATTAAATAATTTTAATGCTTTGCACTCCATTTCATGCCAAAATATCCAAAATCCGCCGCACAATTTCACAAGACTGGGAATTTGAGGAAATCGTATGGATCGGTATTTTCTTTATTGCAACGGACGTTATAACCAGACTTGGTTACAAAGTCCGTCGGTCTTTTCACTCCAACAGCTGAGTGTTGTGAATGTTGGAGAGCGCTGTGGCGGAGTGTTGGAGCAGACTGCTCACTCCCTTCACTAACTCACTGCATCAGGGACAATCCTACATAATTACCTGCAACATACACCACAAAGCGGAAAGTGTGGCAGAAACATTGGTTGATGTGCTACCTTTTTGAAAATGAACTACTGAGTTTGCGTAGGTTTGTATAGTGTGTGGTAATGTGGTCCCACACTGCCTGGCAATGATCGTGTACAGGTAACAGTTCTAGCACAATTTTTCGAGGAGTTATTTCATTGTGTTACTTGGGATTGAAACTGATTATGATTATGATATCCTCTGAAGAAATGTTTGTGTATTTATTGTGTAGCATCATATCTGATTATTTTTGGCCACCTGTTTACTGTTTATTTTGCTCATAGATTTGGTTAAACTGTCAAATTGGTATTTGCATGGCATAGTACAATTATACATTGTGTATTAACAGTAAAGACAAATATTTAAAGGAGTCAAAGTTACTGCCTTAATAAAAATCCGATTCAATGCAAATCTGAATTTTCATGGGCTAAATTCTCTTTCTTCGCTTCTCTTTCCCTTACAAACTCGCTCAGCGTGAAAGACTGTTACTGTGGTGATGCTTATCTATTTCTGTAAATGCCTTTTTGTGAAGAAACCCTTCAGTCGGGTTTCCGTGCTGCCCATAGCACAGAAACTGCCCTGGTCAAGGTCACCAATGACATCCTGACCACCTGCGACCAGGGCTCCCTCTGCCTCCTCGTCCTCCTCGACCTATCGGCAGCATTCGAAACGGTCGACCATGCTATCCACCTCTATTGCTTGTCCTCTCACCTCAACCTTCAAGGCCCTGTCCTTGAGTAGTTTAGGTCGTACCTCTCCCACCGTCTTCACTTTGTTTCCACAAATGTTTTTTCCTCCAGCCCCCGCACTGTCTCGTGCGGTGTCCTTCAAGGCTCTGTCCTCGGTCCCCTCCTCTTCACCCTCTACATGCTCCCCCTGTGGTGACATCATCCGCAGACATGGGATTAACTTCCACATGTATGTGGATGACACCCAACTCTACCTTTCCTCCTCTACCCTCAACTCCACGACCACCGATGTCCTGACAGCTGCCTGTCCGACATCGAGTCCTGGACGAGAGACAACTTTCTTCAGCTCAACGTGCGGAAAACTGAGGCCCTCCTGATTGGCTCACGTGAGCGCCTCCGCACCTCAGGCGCTGACAGCATCAGCATCCAAGGCTGCACTCTCCACCTCTCAAAGCCAGTCAGGAAACTTGGGGTTCTGTTCGACCCTGAGCTGTCCTTTCTCCCTCATATCCGCACCACACCTGGCATCGCCTTCCATCACCTCCAGAATGTTGCCAGACTACGGCACTACCTCACCCCTCACGCTGCTGAAACTCTGGTCCACGCCTTTATCACCTCAAGGCTGGACTATGGGAACTCTCTCCTCGCCGGCCTTCCCGGCACCTCCCTCCACAAGCTGCAGGTCATTCAGAACTCTGCAGCTCGTGTACTGTCCCGCACCAGACACCGTGACCACATCACTCCCACCCTCGCTCGCCTCCACTGGCTCCCCATCCCCCAGAGGATCGATTTCAAGATCCTCATCCTCACCTACAAGGCCATTCATGGCCTTGCTCCCTCCTACCTCTCCGACCTACTATCTCCCTACTTACCTGCCCGTACCCTCCATTCCTCTGGCTCCGGTCTGCTCCACATCCCCCGCCCCAACCGCCCTTCCATCGGTGGCCGGGCCTTCAGCCTCTCAGCCCCGAGGCTCTGGAACTCTATCCCCCAGTGCCTTCGCCGCCTCCTCCCTTTCCTCCTTCAAGGCCGGTCTCAAGACCTTTCTCTTTGACCGTGCCTTCAGCTCCCCTCTCGACTCTCTACCCCCTCCTCGCTCCCTCCCTTCCCTCCCCTCACCCTGACCATTTCCCCCCAATGCTCGGATCCTGACCCAACTGTACAGCGCCTTGGGACATCCTCCCGACGTGAAAGGTGCTCTATAAATGGAATCTTGTTGTTGTTGTTGTTGTACTTTTTCAGAGGGTTTCTCTCTTTCCTAACACAATTTGGGCCCAAAAGGGCAAGCACGTGACTTCCTCCCAGGTTTCCTTTGAATCGAGTTGCCAAGAGGTTTGGGAAAGTTTAACAGAGAAGTAATAGAGCTTCTGTGGTATACAGCAGGTCTAGTGGATCGTATTTTAATAAAATCTTGGTTCACGAACGTGCCCTGTAACCAAAATATCTTAATGTGGATAAGGTCAAACCAAAAACTCATCTTGCTAATAATAACAAATGGCAAATGTCTTATGTTTCTAAAAACGAGGAAGTGTAGGATCTGTGATTAAGAGAACTGATTTTTGCAAATCATTTCTGTGTACATATAGGTATCCAAAAAATGCGACCATCGTAACTGAGCATGAGTAACATGTGCGGCCGGTGTGGAGGGCTCTATATAAAATCCAAGTTATTGTTTTTGTTGTTGTAACATGGTCTAACCAATTGATAGATCCTGGGAGGGTGGACTGAAGTGAAACGTACCAGTTGATTGATGCTTCAGTAATCCAGAACAGAGGACCCGACAAAGGGAAATCTCACTGTTGTTGCCTCTTCTCCTGTGTTCCCTCTCACTCACAGTGAGATGACGCCTTCTTAGAACGCTTTGGTAGAGCTGATCAAATCACACTGAAAACTGAAACTGAGCCTTGTAAGATTGGGTCACGTGAGGTAAGTGCAGTGGAAGAAGGCTTTTCAGACCATTTTATCTCGTTCTTGTGTTTGTGTCAGAAGTTCACATTGTGTCAGGTCTACCGAGAGGCTTTATGTAGATTGTCCTGGGGAAAGTAATGAGCACCAGATATTCCAATGTTTCCTTGAGAAATCGTGCTTCAGAAAGTGGCACTTTTTTTGCTGTCCACATTTCAAAAGTTTTCTAAATGTTTTTAAAACCACTGCTCCCTCCCTCCCTCCCTCCCTCCCTCCCTCCCTCCCTCCCTCCCTCCCTCCCTCCCTCCCTCCCTCCCTCCCTCCCTCCCTCCCTCCCTCCTCACTGCTGTGGGCAATTGGCTGCCGCCTTTTGCCCACTAAAATATACAGTCAATTCACTTTGCAGTATATTCTGTGAAGGGCTTTGACACGTCTTGAAAAATCTTGGAGGTGGTGTTCGCCAACAAAAGTAAGCAAACCCCAGGTAGTGATTGCTGCTCCAGTGACAAATTTTTCAAACTTTCTTATTAAGTTGTCCTTTTATCTTCATCCTTCACAGCAACGTTTGAAGCAAGTTCTCCGCAGCGAGCTATGAAGAGACTACACAAAGGCTACCTCGTCGCTCCTCTTCTCGTAATCTGCATTGTATTATACTTGCAAAATGACTTCAATCACTATTTCCAACAAAGATACCCTTTGAAAGATAAATACGATGTGGATTTTGATAATTCAAGTTTAATCCCAGATCCTGGGATCATGTTTGTGCAGACTACAAATGAGATGGAGCCGACACCACTGGCTCTATGTGCCGTGGAATCAGCTGCTCGGGAGAATCCAGATAAACCTGTTTATTACTTTATGAAGGGACTCAGCGGGAATTTATCACAATATCCATTCCCTCAGTATTTTGCTGCTCCCATGCTTTCATCAATCAAGAACGTTGTATTGGTTCCCTTGAAGCTCAAGGCATTGTTTCAAAATACCCCTTTGAGTTTCTGGTATCAACAGGTAATAGTCATTCAGTTCAGAATCTTATAAGTAAATATCTCCCTCTCCTGGCAATTTATATATAGTAATAATGTTCACACAGTTTATGACATGTTAAAGTTGATTTTGTTGTCAGAAGCTACATCACCATTCTCTGGGATTCCTTTCCTTTACCCTTCCATCTTGCCTTCTCTCTATCTGTCTTTAAATACGGCCTGAAAACCTACCACTTTGACTGCTTCTCTCCTCTGTTTCTCAGATTTATTTCTGTTTTGGTGAAGTACTCCGAGACACTATCCTATTTGAAGATCACTATGTAAAATATGTCACAAAATATACAGTTAACTCACTTTACAGTATATTCTGTGAAGCACTTTGAGACGTCTCGAATATGTGGAAAGGCGCAAGGATTATTATTTCTTATTATTTAAAAGCAAATTGTTGATATCTTTGGTTTTGGACTTACCAGAAGGACGGATGTCCTTAATGAAGCAGATACCAAGAACTCAAGATAATGGCAATGTGCAGTTGGAAACTTTCCTGAGCGTTGAGGGTTTTTAAACTAACATTTTTGATATTTCCTTTTCTTGCCCATCCCGCCTCACACCTCCATTCCTGAAGATGTTGAACTGCAGTTTACAGTTAAGAAACAGGATTGGGTCCTTGCTTAAAAGAAGAATATATCTTTATATAATGGAGAGTGACTCCAAAGAGAGTTAGCCATATTCCTGGCTAACAATCCTCCAGATAAAATTGGTCACTCACTTCAAGGCTGGTTTGTAGGACATTGCTCTGCGCAAATTGGCCACAGTGATGGCGTACAAAATATACAGTTGACCGCAAATCCTGTGAAGTGCTTTGATGGGTCCTCCCTTTGGAAAAGGTGCTATGTCAAATGCAAGGATTATTATTATTAATTAGGATTATTATTTTACTTGTAAATAATATTGCTTTGTTACATCATTATAATGCAGGTAAATTCATCCCGGGAACAATACTGGATTCATGTGCTCTCTGACGCCTGCAGGATAGCACTTCTGTGGAAATACGGTGGCATCTACCTGGATACAGATATTATTTCCCTGAAGCCTTTGAATTTCACAAACTTTATCTGCTCACAAGGAAACAGTATTGCCAATAATGCAGCCCTCGGTTTTCAGAATCAGCATCAATTCATGTGGGACTGCATGGAAGACTTTGTCACCAACTACAATGGGCAGATCTGGGGTCAACAAGGTCCGGGACTGATCAGTCGTGTGTTGAAACAATGGTGTCAGTCTGATAACCTTGACAAACTTCTTGACTTGCAATGCAATGGCATTTCTTTCTTGTCTCCCAGATACTTTTATCCAATTGCATTCGCTGAGTGGCAGAGGTTCTTTCAGCCCTGGAATAAGAACGATATTGAATCCTTTTTCCCAGATACAAAAGGGGTGCACATCTGGAACTTCATGAACAAGGGACAACAAAAACGAGTGGTTGCTGGAAGTGGGACATTAATAGAGCGTTTGTTTTTAAAGTATTGTCCGACTACTTATAAGGTTTTTGTAAAATGTAGCAGCTTTATATAGTAAATTTTGCACACGGAAGAGGTAAATACGCGTTATTGCAGCATCAGCCTCCAACCATAATATTCTTGTGTTGTATGACACTGTGGAGGATAATGACATACGGTATACCTTGTATCTTATATATAATGGACAACTGGGAGATCAATAATAATAATAATAATTATTCTTACATTTAATCTGGGCCTTTTCATGTCTTCAAGATGTTCCAAAGAACATCACAGGATAGACTGTAAAATGGTGTGGAGGTGTGTCTTTTGTGGGGGAATGTAATGGTTTATGATTGCTTGTGAAACTTTGCCGTTGCAAAACAGCTGCCGTGTTTGATTTGAATAAATAATCACTAAATTTGAGTTATTGAGATTTGTGTGGCGACAGTTCACTTTAAGGCACTTTAAAAATTGAAATTGTTTCTCCAATTATTGTGATGTAGTGATATCTGCCCAAAGCGCACAACTGAGTTGAGGATAAAGGAGCTTTTGCAAGGTACCCTGATTTTGAATTAAGGCTAAGATGGGGGACTGAGCTAGTGATTGGAATGATTATACACATTTCCGCCATTATACTGTGGTTCCCTCGAAGGCTGCTTCATCAGGTTCTATTAACTGACTGCAGCCATTGTTTTGTTGATGCAGATGTGTCCTGGATTAGACTTGAAGTTTGTTGATGTGCTGAACTATATAAGATTTATAGGTTTCAGGAACAGAAGGAGGTACAATAACTGTTTCAATGTAAACATTTATTGGCCAGTTGTGAAGCCTACTATATCCTACATGCAAGCGCCATAGTCTAAACTCTACATAGCCATAACCATAGCTGTTGATGACCCATTGCCTATTATGTGGTAGATGTTAGTTTCAGCGCGAGCCGAAAGGATAAGGTAAGAGTCCAAATTTTTGACTCTCCAGATCTTTGGGACGTCCCCCCAACGTGGACAAATGTAATTTGTTGTTGTTGAGTTAGAAGAAGAATACCAGCTGAGAACAACAACAACAAATTACATTTATACCGTGTCTTTCATGTCGGGAAATGTCTCAAGGCGCTGGACAGTCAGGGATTTGAACGTGCGCTGGGGGTTGGGATCAGGCGGGGTGGAGGGCAGGAAGAATAGAGATAGGAGGATGACTGAAGCTGCTGTTGTGGAGGAGGATCTTGAGAAGTGCCTTGAATGAGGCAAGGGACGGAGCTCGGCGAAAGTACTATGGGACGGTGTTCGAAAGGCTGGGGCAGAGAGGCTGAAGGCACGACCTCCGATGGTGAGTGGGCCGGGCGGGGGACGTTGAGCAGGCCGGAGCCTGCTGAGAGGAGGGAGAAGCAAAGCTGAGGTGTGTGAGAGCTGCAGCACATTGTGACGGAGTCTACGTGAAGACAAGTAAGTAGATTACAGTAGAATTCTTCTGAACAGGAGCGAGTCTTGAGCTCAAATGGTGGACTGACACTCTCGTGCAGCATTGTTGAAAGACTGCTGCATTGTTGAAGGTGCTGCCATGTCGATGAGCCATTAAACCAGGGGTGGACAACTATTTTGGCTGGCGAGCCACTTCATGAGTTTTGGTAAGCTTTGTGGGCCACACACTTAATATAGATACAAATGCATAATAATTGCTCAAAATTAAGTCTTACATTTGTACTTGCATAGAATAAAATCTATATAATTGACAATCATTAAAATGAGGTTAAATAAAACAAGTCATTGAGCATTTGTATCTATATTAAGACATTTATTCAAATTTTATTCATTTATTCACGTATTGATGAGAATGTGGGAAGCTCACTCATTGGGAAGAATGAAAGCGCTGATGTGCGTTAACCAGACAATTGAAGTCAGGCATCGTCTCCGTTGTTGCAATGCGCAGCTCTGCTGCAAGGTGTTCATCAGTCATCACAGATCTATGTTTTGATTTATTGAATTTCATCACAGAAAATGTCTCCTTACATATATATGTTGATCCAAACAGCACAAGGATCCTCTGGGCATGAGCCTTTATTTTTGGAAAGGTATATTCAAGCGAGGCTTAAAAACTAAGAAGAGGCACTGATACGAGTTGCTCTGCAAGCAATAAATCACATTGCAAGCCAATAAGGTTGAGTTGGAGGTCAAATGGGGATTCGTCAACATCAAATGAGAAAGGTGAAGAGACCAAAGACAGGTCATTTCTGATCAAATTGAAATCCTGGAATCAGCGAGAAAATTCGGTATGTACGTCAAGTAGTGACGAAATATACTTTTTAAGGCTTTGATCGCAAACAGTAATCTGCTGCAAAGTTGGAAAGTGGACGAACAGCCTGTTTCCTATCTGATGCGCTAAAATAAATAATTTTGTCATTAATGACTTGACATTGCAATACAAATCGTGCAGGAAGCTCCCCTTCTGTTGCAGTTTTGAATTCAGTTTATTCATGTGGCCCATGATAGCAACGGCAAATGCAAAATCAGAGACAATTCGTATCATTCAGCTGTGGGAAATCAGCATCTTTTTGTTTCATGTCCAAAAATCTCTGTTCTCAGTTTCCACATTCTTTTCAAGACCTTTCCTAAACTAAGCCATCTTACATTCGTGTGATACAGAACATCCGTGAGCTTGGATACCGATTCCTCAAGCAGAGTTACAAATTGCCTGTGGTTTAATCCTCTTGCTCGAATGTAGTTGACCACTTTCGTAACTGTGTCCATGACATTGCTTAGTTTTAGAACACTCTTACAGAGGACCTCTTGGTGGATAATGCAATGTAGAAATCCCATATTCTGTTCTGGATTTGTTTCTTTGACTTAATTTGGAATTCTTTTCAGTAACCCAACATTTTTGCCTGTCAGATTTGGGCTTCCATCAATGGTCACATTCATCAATTTTTTCCACTCCAGTCCTAATTTTAAGATACACTTATTTATTACCTCCAAAAAGTATTCTCCAGTTGTCGCATCTTTCATATCTTGCAAGTTTCCTTACTCCATCCCTCCAAAAAAACAAAACAATAATAAAAATTGCTCATTTTCAATCCACGACTGTTTGTGGGACATTGCTGTGCGCAATTGGCTGCCGCGTTCGCCCACAAATATACAGTCAATTCACTTTACCGTATATTCTGTGAAGCGCTTTGGGACGTCTAGAAGACGTGAAAAGCGCTATATCAAATGCAAGGATTATTATTATTATTATTGAGGTAAATTTTTCAGTCAGCTCAAAATGTTTGGTGATACGTTGAATAAAAATTATCAACTGGGCTGTGTCTTTGACATCACAACTCTCACGTGCCAGTGCCAGTTAAAAAATGCAAAATTGCTTACTTGATTTTGTAACTGGAGATACATATTCTCAGAGATATGCTCGACATGCCTCACAATAGTTCGCCTTGACAAGCTAATGTTCTCAAACTGTTTTTTTCTTGCCTGGGCGTAAAATCGAGGCAGAGTCAACCATACATTCCTTTATAAATTCTCCTTCAGCCAATGTTCTTGGCGATTTTGTGTGCAATCAAATAACTCAGTCTTGAAGTCTCATCCTGGGACATAAATTATTTTGTGAAAATGCTTTGCTCTTTTTGCATTCGGACAACCATCTCATCAGCTTTCTTTCCTTTTTGTTCGGCAGAAACGTTCTTATATTTGCAAGCGTGTTTGCTCTCAAAATGGCGATTCAAATTGTTGTCTTTGAGCACTGACACACTTTCTTTGTACATTAAACACACAGCTTTACACCCACACTGGTAAAAGAATATTTAGAAGTCCATTGTTTGTTGAATATTTGTTCTTCAGCGTCCACTTTCTGCTTCTTTGATAAACTCATTTCCAGTTAACGTCCTCGTCAGTGAAAAGTATTGCTGCATTTGCCACGCGTCTTCGAAAATCTCCCGATCCGTACATTTCTGATGTCAGCTTGATTCAACACTGAAGGGAACGTGCGCACATCTAAGCAGAGTGATTGGCTGATATTCCCAGTCAGGTCCAAATGCGAAATTTGTGTGACTTTCTGGAACTGAACCAACTATCATTTTTTCTATTGCTAGACACAATGACGGGCCGGATAGAATCATTTGGCGGGCCCGATATGGTTCTTGGGCCATGTTTTGCCCACCCCTGCATTAAACCAGGAACCATTATAGTGTTTCAGGTGAACATTAAAATGCCACGAGTGGCAAACTTTGAGAAAGCACCTGATGGAGTTTGTTGATATCATCTCAACCCTTGAGAACACACCTCGTGATGTGTTATTCCATCTTAATAAACTTTATGTTCTTTTATTCAACCAGGTGGGTGGAGGTGATCAAGAGCGCAACTGGATCAACAGGTCGGGCAAGCCTTCTGAGCCAGAAGAACACTCAGATGAAAACCATTCAAATGAACTGAATCATTAGGAGTTGCACCTGCTACAATCTTCAAGCATTACTGCAGGACACAGTGAATATTGGAGCCCGGACTCATTGTCCGCTGTACGAGAGACAATCTACTTAGATTAAAATGAAGAACGGGTTTCAAGGTTATAATTGCACTCACACATAACTGGATAAGGAGAAAGATTGTTTGGCAAAAATTGGGTTTGATTCTGGCAGGTACACGCCCCTGTAAAACAAAAAGTGCATAGTAACCTTTCAAAACTTGGGTGGTTCCATTAATCAAAACTGAGGTGCTTCAGGGATCACGTTGTCAACTTGTGCAGCGAGTCCTAATACAGCATTGTTCACCTACCAAAGATGCACTTCCTGTACTGTAATTAACAACAGAAACCTTCTGTTCTGAAGGTGAATTGTGGACGGAGTGAGTAAAGATATCTACAGTTTCTACCACTCAGTGGTCTGCTCCTTTGGCTATAAAAGAAGAAAACTCATAAATGTAAGTGCCCTGTTAGACTTTTGCACAGTTGTAGCCAGGATGAAATTTCAATTATTTGTGCGCTCCATGCCTGGGTTCGGAAAACAAGGGACTCTGTCCTATTCCTGTCATTACATAACACTATAAACAGCGATGTTTGTATTTGTTTTGTCCTGTACACTGTGAGTTTCGGACCTGCTTAGTCCATACTCTTGGGTCATCCTTAGTTATGCATCTGTCAATTTGACAGCTGCTTACTTTTCATTTAAGTAGGTTTACAGCCTTCATGTTGTAATTCACAAACACATGTGGCAGTTTCTACTTAGCAAATGTATTGCCTTGGAGATATCAAGAAGACAGAATGAGAAAGGAATGAGTGAAGTGTTGAAAGGTTTGGGATCACTAAATGGAGTGTGCGATGTCTTAACTCCAATTTGATGGGTCACTGGTTGGGTTCAGATGTTTATGGCAGGTGTGAAGGCAAAAATGTTGTACTTCGGTGTGAAAGAGCCACTGTGTCAAGGAAGATGAGATTTGGTTTCAAAATTGACACATTTTCCCATTGAAATAGAGGTTGAAGGCCAATTGTAAATCCTGAAGAGAAACAGCAGAAATAGCCAATCTAGAGTGAGTCTTACCCCACATCTAATTCATGTTGTACATCATCTGAGAGTGCTCAATGTATGAGTAATGAAGAGGAATCTTAAACTACATCTAATCTAGTCTGGCACGACAAGGTACACAGTATAGAGGGAGCTTCACACTCTGTAATTAATCTCTGTGCTACCTAACCTGCTGCTTCTCAGTGGGCAAGTATAGAGGGATTTTATTCGACATCTGATTGTGCTATATTTGACTTGTGAGTCTTGATGGGACAATGTGCAAAGCAGTTTTATGTTGTATTTAACCTGTGCTACACCTGAACTGGGACTGCTCAGCAGACAGAGTAGAGAGAGGATGGCTATCTGATTTGGATTAGGGTCATACCTAAAGTGAAAATGTTTTATGCTGGCAAAGCTGATAGTTGTGAAATTTTTGAATACAGCTTAAATTTTGAAGGTGGGCTTTTAAGAACTACAGAAAACCGATTTCTAATTTAAAGCTTTAAAAAATTACCAAATTTTGTTTTCTCTAAAATGCTACGTAGATAAAGAACATCTAGACTCAGCTGGAATGGGGCATATGAAAATGAGTCCTCTATAGCAGATATGTGCAGCTTGTTTCACATGTTATACTGAGTGTCTGTATGGAGGGGTTCGATATTCCTTTCCATGTTGTAGCGGAGCCCAGTATGTGGCTCGTGGAATCCCATAATTAAACTAATGAAAGAAACAAAATGGGAAAAGTAATGTGAGATGAAGGAGAGAGCTTGGAAGAAAGGGATAATGGAGGAAATTGGAATTATATGAAAAAATAGTTTGATCCTGACCACAGCAGGTCTCGGTGGAGTGAGACAAAATATATTATGTTGGTGGTGTTTGAATTGTATTGTTGTTTAAATGGATCAGGAAAGTGTAGGGGGTTTTAGCTGTGGTTGGTAAAATGATCTTTTTATTTTAGTATCATTTTAGACAAGCATCCAAGGATTTTTGAAAAGTGACTTTGCTGCTCAATACACATCCGGACACATAATAATGCCTAGAAAAAAACAAAATAAACTATAGAATAATTAGGGCTGTGACATTACATGCCATAGTTTTCATTCTTATGATCGGAGAAGAGGATAGGCAATGAACAGATGGGTCTGGATTAGGGCACATGGTGTTCACCTCTGGGATCCAAGTTTGAATCCCATCCAGGATGACGGGATGCAAAATGCAAAATACTGCAAATGCTGGAAATCTGAAACAAAAACAGAAGTTGCTGGGAGCCCTCAGCAGGTCAGGCAGCATCTACGGAGAAAGGAAAGTGAGTCAATGTTTCAGATCCACAACCCTTTTTACAGCTCTGTATTGTGATGGAAGTTGAGTGTAGGTCATTAAAAGAAAATAAGCATCTCCACTGGTGACAGAAGAACATGTTGACCCCACCGTTGTGTATTATACAAATGCACCTTCCCAAGCTGTTACTTTCTATGGTTTACCACCCTTGTAATTTGCCCTTACAGTGGATCATTTATGTCCCTGAACAAGCACCTGAGATGCCAAAATACTGTGCCAGAAAGAATATTAAATTAATTATTAAATAATTTTAATGCTTTGCACTCCATTTCATGCCAAAATATCCAAAATCCGCCGCACAATTTCACAAGACTGGGAATTTGAGGAAATCGTATGGATCGGTATTTTCTTTATTGCAACGGACGTTATAACCAGACTTGGTTACAAAGTCCGTCGGTCTTTTCACTCCAACAGCTGAGTGTTGTGAATGTTGGAGAGCGCTGTGGCGGAGTGTTGGAGCAGACTGCTCACTCCCTTCACTAACTCACTGCATCAGGGACAATCCTACATAATTACCTGCAACATACACCACAAAGCGGAAAGTGTGGCAGAAACATTGGTTGATGTGCTACCTTTTTGAAAATGAACTACTGAGTTTGCGTAGGTTTGTATAGTGTGTGGTAATGTGGTCCCACACTGCCTGGCAATGATCGTGTACAGGTAACAGTTCTAGCACAATTTTTCGAGGAGTTATTTCATTGTGTTACTTGGGATTGAAACTGATTATGATTATGATATCCTCTGAAGAAATGTTTGTGTATTTATTGTGTAGCATCATATCTGATTATTTTTGGCCACCTGTTTACTGTTTATTTTGCTCATAGATTTGGTTAAACTGTCAAATTGGTATTTGCATGGCATAGTACAATTATACATTGTGTATTAACAGTAAAGACAAATATTTAAAGGAGTCAAAGTTACTGCCTTAATAAAAATCCGATTCAATGCAAATCTGAATTTTCATGGGCTAAATTCTCTTTCTTCGCTTCTCTTTCCCTTACAAACTCGCTCAGCGTGAAAGACTGTTACTGTGGTGATGCTTATCTATTTCTGTAAATGCCTTTTTGTGAAGAAACCCTTCAGTCGGGTTTCCGTGCTGCCCATAGCACAGAAACTGCCCTGGTCAAGGTCACCAATGACATCCTGACCACCTGCGACCAGGGCTCCCTCTGCCTCCTCGTCCTCCTCGACCTATCGGCAGCATTCGAAACGGTCGACCATGCTATCCACCTCTATTGCTTGTCCTCTCACCTCAACCTTCAAGGCCCTGTCCTTGAGTAGTTTAGGTCGTACCTCTCCCACCGTCTTCACTTTGTTTCCACAAATGTTTTTTCCTCCAGCCCCCGCACTGTCTCGTGCGGTGTCCTTCAAGGCTCTGTCCTCGGTCCCCTCCTCTTCACCCTCTACATGCTCCCCCTGTGGTGACATCATCCGCAGACATGGGATTAACTTCCACATGTATGTGGATGACACCCAACTCTACCTTTCCTCCTCTACCCTCAACTCCACGACCACCGATGTCCTGACAGCTGCCTGTCCGACATCGAGTCCTGGACGAGAGACAACTTTCTTCAGCTCAACGTGCGGAAAACTGAGGCCCTCCTGATTGGCTCACGTGAGCGCCTCCGCACCTCAGGCGCTGACAGCATCAGCATCCAAGGCTGCACTCTCCACCTCTCAAAGCCAGTCAGGAAACTTGGGGTTCTGTTCGACCCTGAGCTGTCCTTTCTCCCTCATATCCGCACCACACCTGGCATCGCCTTCCATCACCTCCAGAATGTTGCCAGACTACGGCACTACCTCACCCCTCACGCTGCTGAAACTCTGGTCCACGCCTTTATCACCTCAAGGCTGGACTATGGGAACTCTCTCCTCGCCGGCCTTCCCGGCACCTCCCTCCACAAGCTGCAGGTCATTCAGAACTCTGCAGCTCGTGTACTGTCCCGCACCAGACACCGTGACCACATCACTCCCACCCTCGCTCGCCTCCACTGGCTCCCCATCCCCCAGAGGATCGATTTCAAGATCCTCATCCTCACCTACAAGGCCATTCATGGCCTTGCTCCCTCCTACCTCTCCGACCTACTATCTCCCTACTTACCTGCCCGTACCCTCCATTCCTCTGGCTCCGGTCTGCTCCACATCCCCCGCCCCAACCGCCCTTCCATCGGTGGCCGGGCCTTCAGCCTCTCAGCCCCGAGGCTCTGGAACTCTATCCCCCAGTGCCTTCGCCGCCTCCTCCCTTTCCTCCTTCAAGGCCGGTCTCAAGACCTTTCTCTTTGACCGTGCCTTCAGCTCCCCTCTCGACTCTCTACCCCCTCCTCGCTCCCTCCCTTCCCTCCCCTCACCCTGACCATTTCCCCCCAATGCTCGGATCCTGACCCAACTGTACAGCGCCTTGGGACATCCTCCCGACGTGAAAGGTGCTCTATAAATGGAATCTTGTTGTTGTTGTTGTTGTACTTTTTCAGAGGGTTTCTCTCTTTCCTAACACAATTTGGGCCCAAAAGGGCAAGCACGTGACTTCCTCCCAGGTTTCCTTTGAATCGAGTTGCCAAGAGGTTTGGGAAAGTTTAACAGAGAAGTAATAGAGCTTCTGTGGTATACAGCAGGTCTAGTGGATCGTATTTTAATAAAATCTTGGTTCACGAACGTGCCCTGTAACCAAAATATCTTAATGTGGATAAGGTCAAACCAAAAACTCATCTTGCTAATAATAACAAATGGCAAATGTCTTATGTTTCTAAAAACGAGGAAGTGTAGGATCTGTGATTAAGAGAACTGATTTTTGCAAATCATTTCTGTGTACATATAGGTATCCAAAAAATGCGACCATCGTAACTGAGCATGAGTAACATGTGCGGCCGGTGTGGAGGGCTCTATATAAAATCCAAGTTATTGTTTTTGTTGTTGTAACATGGTCTAACCAATTGATAGATCCTGGGAGGGTGGACTGAAGTGAAACGTACCAGTTGATTGATGCTTCAGTAATCCAGAACAGAGGACCCGACAAAGGGAAATCTCACTGTTGTTGCCTCTTCTCCTGTGTTCCCTCTCACTCACAGTGAGATGACGCCTTCTTAGAACGCTTTGGTAGAGCTGATCAAATCACACTGAAAACTGAAACTGAGCCTTGTAAGATTGGGTCACGTGAGGTAAGTGCAGTGGAAGAAGGCTTTTCAGACCATTTTATCTCGTTCTTGTGTTTGTGTCAGAAGTTCACATTGTGTCAGGTCTACCGAGAGGCTTTATGTAGATTGTCCTGGGGAAAGTAATGAGCACCAGATATTCCAATGTTTCCTTGAGAAATCGTGCTTCAGAAAGTGGCACTTTTTTGCTGTCCACATTTCAAAAGTTTTCTAAATGTTTTTAAAACCACTGCTCCCTCCTCCCTCCCTCCCTCCCCTCCCTCCCTCTCCTCCCTCCCTCCCTCCTCACTGCTGTGGGCAATTGGCTGCCGCCTTTTGCCCACTAAAATATACAGTCAATTCACTTTGCAGTATATTCTGTGAAGGGCTTTGACACGTCTTGAAAAATCTTGGAGGTGGTGTTCGCCAACAAAAGTAAGCAAACCCCAGGTAGTGATTGCTGCTCCAGTGACAAATTTTTCAAACTTTCTTATTAAGTTGTCCTTTTATCTTCATCCTTCACAGCAACGTTTGAAGCAAGTTCTCCGCAGCGAGCTATGAAGAGACTACACAAAGGCTACCTCGTCGCTCCTCTTCTCGTAATCTGCATTGTATTATACTTGCAAAATGACTTCAATCACTATTTCCAACAAAGATACCCTTTGAAAGATAAATACGATGTGGATTTTGATAATTCAAGTTTAATCCCAGATCCTGGGATCATGTTTGTGCAGACTACAAATGAGATGGAGCCGACACCACTGGCTCTATGTGCCGTGGAATCAGCTGCTCGGGAGAATCCAGATAAACCTGTTTATTACTTTATGAAGGGACTCAGCGGGAATTTATCACAATATCCATTCCCTCAGTATTTTGCTGCTCCCATGCTTTCATCAATCAAGAACGTTGTATTGGTTCCCTTGAAGCTCAAGGCATTGTTTCAAAATACCCCTTTGAGTTTCTGGTATCAACAGGTAATAGTCATTCAGTTCAGAATCTTATAAGTAAATATCTCCCTCTCCTGGCAATTTATATATAGTAATAATGTTCACACAGTTTATGACATGTTAAAGTTGATTTTGTTGTCAGAAGCTACATCACCATTCTCTGGGATTCCTTTCCTTTACCCTTCCATCTTGCCTTCTCTCTATCTGTCTTTAAATACGGCCTGAAAACCTACCACTTTGACTGCTTCTCTCCTCTGTTTCTCAGATTTATTTCTGTTTTGGTGAAGTACTCCGAGACACTATCCTATTTGAAGATCACTATGTAAAATATGTCACAAAATATACAGTTAACTCACTTTACAGTATATTCTGTGAAGCACTTTGAGACGTCTCGAATATGTGGAAAGGCGCAAGGATTATTATTTCTTATTATTTAAAAGCAAATTGTTGATATCTTTGGTTTTGGACTTACCAGAAGGACGGATGTCCTTAATGAAGCAGATACCAAGAACTCAAGATAATGGCAATGTGCAGTTGGAAACTTTCCTGAGCGTTGAGGGTTTTTAAACTAACATTTTTGATATTTCCTTTTCTTGCCCATCCCGCCTCACACCTCCATTCCTGAAGATGTTGAACTGCAGTTTACAGTTAAGAAACAGGATTGGGTCCTTGCTTAAAAGAAGAATATATCTTTATATAATGGAGAGTGACTCCAAAGAGAGTTAGCCATATTCCTGGCTAACAATCCTCCAGATAAAATTGGTCACTCACTTCAAGGCTGGTTTGTAGGACATTGCTCTGCGCAAATTGGCCACAGTGATGGCGTACAAAATATACAGTTGACCGCAAATCCTGTGAAGTGCTTTGATGGGTCCTCCCTTTGGAAAAGGTGCTATGTCAAATGCAAGGATTATTATTATTAATTAGGATTATTATTTTACTTGTAAATAATATTGCTTTGTTACATCATTATAATGCAGGTAAATTCATCCCGGGAACAATACTGGATTCATGTGCTCTCTGACGCCTGCAGGATAGCACTTCTGTGGAAATACGGTGGCATCTACCTGGATACAGATATTATTTCCCTGAAGCCTTTGAATTTCACAAACTTTATCTGCTCACAAGGAAACAGTATTGCCAATAATGCAGCCCTCGGTTTTCAGAATCAGCATCAATTCATGTGGGACTGCATGGAAGACTTTGTCACCAACTACAATGGGCAGATCTGGGGTCAACAAGGTCCGGGACTGATCAGTCGTGTGTTGAAACAATGGTGTCAGTCTGATAACCTTGACAAACTTCTTGACTTGCAATGCAATGGCATTTCTTTCTTGTCTCCCAGATACTTTTATCCAATTGCATTCGCTGAGTGGCAGAGGTTCTTTCAGCCCTGGAATAAGAACGATATTGAATCCTTTTTCCCAGATACAAAAGGGGTGCACATCTGGAACTTCATGAACAAGGGACAACAAAAACGAGTGGTTGCTGGAAGTGGGACATTAATAGAGCGTTTGTTTTTAAAGTATTGTCCGACTACTTATAAGGTTTTTGTAAAATGTAGCAGCTTTATATAGTAAATTTTGCACACGGAAGAGGTAAATACGCGTTATTGCAGCATCAGCCTCCAACCATAATATTCTTGTGTTGTATGACACTGTGGAGGATAATGACATACGGTATACCTTGTATCTTATATATAATGGACAACTGGGAGATCAATAATAATAATAATAATTATTCTTACATTTAATCTGGGCCTTTTCATGTCTTCAAGATGTTCCAAAGAACATCACAGGATAGACTGTAAAATGGTGTGGAGGTGTGTCTTTTGTGGGGGAATGTAATGGTTTATGATTGCTTGTGAAACTTTGCCGTTGCAAAACAGCTGCCGTGTTTGATTTGAATAAATAATCACTAAATTTGAGTTATTGAGATTTGTGTGGCGACAGTTCACTTTAAGGCACTTTAAAAATTGAAATTGTTTCTCCAATTATTGTGATGTAGTGATATCTGCCCAAAGCGCACAACTGAGTTGAGGATAAAGGAGCTTTTGCAAGGTACCCTGATTTTGAATTAAGGCTAAGATGGGGGACTGAGCTAGTGATTGGAATGATTATACACATTTCCGCCATTATACTGTGGTTCCCTCGAAGGCTGCTTCATCAGGTTCTATTAACTGACTGCAGCCATTGTTTTGTTGATGCAGATGTGTCCTGGATTAGACTTGAAGTTTGTTGATGTGCTGAACTATATAAGATTTATAGGTTTCAGGAACAGAAGGAGGTACAATAACTGTTTCAATGTAAACATTTATTGGCCAGTTGTGAAGCCTATTATATCCTACATGCAAGCGCCATAGTCTAAACTCTACATAGCCATAACCATAGCTGTTGATGACCCATTGCCTATTATGTGGTAGATGTTAGTTTCAGCGCGAGCCGAAAGGATAAGGTAAGAGTCCAAATTTTTGACTCTCCAGATCTTTGGGACGTCCCCCAACGTGGACAAATGTAATTTGTTGTTGTTGAGTTAGAAGAAGAATACCAGCTGAGAACAACAACAACAAATTACATTTATACCGTGTCTTTCATGTCGGGAAATGTCTCAAGGCGCTGGACAGTCAGGGATTTGAACGTGCGCTGGGGGTTGGGATCAGGCGGGGTGGAGGGCAGGAAGAATAGAGATAGGAGGATGACTGAAGCTGCTGTTGTGGAGGAGGATCTTGAGAAGTGCCTTGAATGAGGCAAGGGACGGAGCTCGGCGAAAGTACTATGGGACGGTGTTCGAAAGGCTGGGGCAGAGAGGCTGAAGGCACGACCTCCGATGGTGAGTGGGCCGGGCGGGGGACGTTGAGCAGGCCGGAGCCTGCTGAGAGGAGGGAGAAGCAAAGCTGAGGTGTGTGAGAGCTGCAGCACATTGTGACGGAGTCTACGTGAAGACAAGTAAGTAGATTACAGTAGAATTCTTCTGAACAGGAGCGAGTCTTGAGCTCAAATGGTGGACTGACACTCTCGTGCAGCATTGTTGAAAGACTGCTGCATTGTTGAAGGTGCTGCCATGTCGATGAGCCATTAAACCAGGGGTGGACAACTATTTTGGCTGGCGAGCCACTTCATGAGTTTTGGTAAGCTTTGTGGGCCACACACTTAATATAGATACAAATGCATAATAATTGCTCAAAATTAAGTCTTACATTTGTACTTGCATAGAATAAAATCTATATAATTGACAATCATTAAAATGAGGTTAAATAAAACAAGTCATTGAGCATTTGTATCTATATTAAGACATTTATTCAAATTTTATTCATTTATTCACGTATTGATGAGAATGTGGGAAGCTCACTCATTGGGAAGAATGAAAGCGCTGATGTGCGTTAACCAGACAATTGAAGTCAGGCATCGTCTCCGTTGTTGCAATGCGCAGCTCTGCTGCAAGGTGTTCATCAGTCATCACAGATCTATGTTTTGATTTATTGAATTTCATCACAGAAAATGTCTCCTTACATATATATGTTGATCCAAACAGCACAAGGATCCTCTGGGCATGAGCCTTTATTTTTGGAAAGGTATATTCAAGCGAGGCGTAAAAACTAAGAAGAGGCACTGATACGAGTTGCTCTGCAAGCAATAAATCACATTGCAAGCCAATAAGGTTGAGTTGGAGGTCAAATGGGGATTTGTCAACATCAAATGAGAAAGGTGAAGAGACCAAAGACAGGTCATTTCCGATCAAATTGAAATCCTGGAATCAGCGAGAAAATTCGGTATGTACGTCAAGTAGTGACGAAATATACTTTTTAAGGCTTTGATCGCAAACAGTAATCTGCTGCAAAGTTGGAAAGTGGACGAACAGCCTGTTTCCTATCTGATGCGCTAAAATAAATAATTTTGTCATTAATGACTTGACATTGCAATACAAATCGTGCAGGAAGCTCCCCTTCTGTTGCAGTTTTGAATTCAGTTTATTCATGTGGCCCATGATAGCAACGGCAAATGCAAAATCAGAGACAATTCGTATCATTCAGCTGTGGGAAATCAGCATCTTTTTGTTTCATGTCCAAAAATCTCTGTTCTCAGTTTCCACATTCTTTTCAAGACCTTTCCTAAACTAAGCCATCTTACATTCGTGTGATACAGAACATCCGTGAGCTTGGATACCGATTCCTCAAGCAGAGTTACAAATTGCCTGTGGTTTAATCCTCTTGCTCAAATGTAGTTGACCACTTTCGTAACTGTGTCCATGACATTGCTTAGTTTTAGAACACTCTTACAGAGGACCTCTTGGTGGATAATGCAATGCAGAAATACCATATTCTGTTCTGGATTTGTTTCTTTGACTTGATCTTGAATTCTTTTCAGTAACCCAACATTTTTGCCTGTCAGATTTGGGCTTCCATCAGTGGTTACATTCATCAATTTTTTTCACTCCAGTCCTAATTTTAAGATACACTTATTTACAGCCTCCAAAAAGTCTTCTCCAGTTGTCGTATCTTCCATATCTTGTATTGAGGTCAATTTTTCTGTCAGCTCATAATGTTTGGTGAATTCGAAGTCCATTGTTTGTTGAATATTTGGCCTTCAGTGTCCACTTTCTGCTTCTTTGATAAACTCATTTCCAATTAACGTCCTCGTCAGTGAAAAGTATTGCTGCTTTTGCCGCGCCCGTTGGAAACTTTCCCAATCCGTACATTTCTGATGTCAGCTTGATTCAACACTGAAGGGAACGTGCGCACATCTAAGCAGAGTGATTGGCTGATATTCCCAGTCCAAATGCGAAATTTGTGTGACTTTCTGGAACTGAACCAACTATCATTTTTTCTATTGCTAGACACAATGACGGGCCGGATAGAATCATTTGGCGGGCTCAATATGGTCCGTGGGCCATGTTTTGCCCACCCCTGCATTAAACCAAGAACCATCATAGTGTTTCAGGTGAACATTAAAATACTGCGAGTGGCAAACTTTGAGAAAGCACCTGATGGAGTTTGTTGATATCATCTCAGCCCTTGAGAACACACCTCGTGATGTGTTATTCCATCTTAATAAACTTTATGTTCTTTTTTTTAACCAGGTGGGTGGAGGTGATCAAGAGCGCAACTGGTTCAACAGGTGGGGCAAGCCTTCTGAGCCAGAAGAACATTCAGATGAACAACATTCAAATGAACTGAATCATTAGGAGTTGCACCTTTTACAAACTTCACAGTGAATATTGGAGCCCGGACTCATTGTCTGCTCTTCGAGAGACAATCTACTTAGATTAAAATGAAGAACGGATCTCAAAGTATCATTGCACTCACACATAACTGGATAAGGAGAAACATTGTTTGGCAAAAATTGGGTTTGATTCTGGCAGGTACACGCCCCTGTAAAACAAAAAGTGCATAGTAACCTTTCAAAACGTGGGTGGTTCCATTAATCAAAACTGAGGTGCTTCAGGGATCACGTTGTCATCTTGTGCAGCGAGTCCTAATACAGCATTGTTCACTGTAATTAACACGACAAACCTTCTGTTCTGAAGGTGAATTGTGGACTATGCTAGGACACTTAAGGCAATGTTAAGCTTGGATCTCCGAGGAGCTTTAGACCCTCGTACGATCCCAGGCGGAGTCGTTACCCCGGCCAATTTACAGGATTTCGAGGTAGAGGTGAGGCAAGCGCTGGCTGCCCATTCCAACCCCCTTGAAGATTTGACCTCATGTAAGCAGGGGGCAAATGAAGGTCCCCTGGCTTTCCATCATAGACTGTGGCAACTATATTCAGCTAATCAGGAGAACGCCATGAATCGGCAACAATGCGAGGGTTCTGCTAATTACAAAAAAAATGCTGGTTAGGGAAATTGAATAAGAATGCCTCTGCTGCTATAGGGTTAGGCACAGATCCCGCCTCCCTTTTTGATCAACTGATGGGAGCAGCCACTAGGTGTCACAGGGCTATTCAGAAATCTATTAAGAGTGAAAAGACAGAATCTGTGTGGCAGGTGGAGGGGCGAGAGCCGTGGAGGCTACTGAATAATGGTCCGAGTCGAGGGCAGCCCCGAAGTCAGGGACCCCATGATAGATCAAGGGATACATGCTATACCTGTGGTAAACGGGGCCATTGGACTGTCCAACAGGGCACAGACCCCGTGCACAGAGAGAGCAGAGCTTTTATGCTGACCCCAGATCTGATCAAGAGCAGCAAAACTATGAACAATGGGAGAGGAACCTGGAGCGAAAGTTAACCCGTTCATTAACCCAAGAAATCTTGACTCAGCTAGGCCCTAATCAGGGACGTGGAGGTGGTTCTGTCTCGGCTATAGTCGAGGGGAACCAACCATGCCCTCAGTGACGTGTTTCGGTCCCACACCCTGATGCCGGCCAAGTGAGCAATCGGTTGTGTGTCCCCTTTAAGAAATATGAGGGACCGAGGCCGTTTATATCCATGAAGGTGTGCGGGACCATCCATGCTATTTTGGTAGATTCAGGCTCTACAGCCACCCTGATTAATTTTGACAACCAACCCCTTCCTCCCCTCACAGGTGAGGAATTTTCTGGAATTTTCTGGTGTGTCTGGTAGCCCTATGTATGGTCAAGTGTTGCGTCCTTTGCCTGTACAATTGACTTGTAAAGCAACGATTTCCAACAATTTGGCAGGATTCCCCAGTAAACAGACAAGGGAGGTAGAATCAAGCGTTAACGTTTAATGATGTTGCATGTTTGAATACTTCAAGTAGAGACAGTAGTTTTGAGGGTTTGTGATTGTCTCCTTGAATGTTTGAATGTATCAAGTAGAGGACAGTAGTTTGGAGTAAGCTGTGGGTGACACACCAATGTGTAGGTGGGGCCAAGCTTGAGTAAGCTGTGGATGCCACACTAAGGTGTAGTCGGGACCAAGCTTCGGTAACGGTCAGGCGTTTGAGCACGCTGGCGATCGCACCAGGCATTTAAGTGCACTGATGTGCGTGTGAACGACATTCGAATATGTTGCTGCGTCGGGCACGCGCGGTTAAACTCTTAGCCTGGTTTTGCAGTACTTTCATTGGCGTTGAGACTTGCACTGGCGTCTGGGCTTTGTGCCAGCACAGTACTGCTCCTGCATCAGACTGTCAACATGGGTTGATCTTTACACCTCAATGGAAAGGCGGGGCAGCCAAATAAGTTGCAGAAGGCAGGATGGTGGCTCGAGTTATGAAGCTTTACTTTTCTGAAGATCACGATGAATTGAGAGCCCCAATCACCTTATTTATTGGAACCATATCATAACAACAACAACAACCACAAGATTCCATTTATTGAGCGCCTTTCACGTCGGGAGGACGTCCCAAGGCGCTGTACAGTTGGGTCAGGACCCGAGCAAGGGGGGAAATGGTCAGGGTGAGGGGAGGGAAGGGAAGGGAGGGAGCGAGGAGGGGGTAGAGAGTCGAGAGGGGAGCTGAAGGCACGGTCAAAGAGAAAGGTCTTGAGACCGGCCTTGAAGGAGGAAAGGGAGGAGGCGGCGAAGGCACTGGGGGATAGAGTTCCAGAGCCTCGGGGCTGAGAGGCTGAAGGCCCGGCCACCGATGGTAGGGCGGTTGGGGTGGGAGATGTGGAGCAGACCGGAGCCAGAGGAACGGAGGGTACGGGCGGGTAGGTAGGGGGATAGCAGGTCGGAAAGGTAGGAGGGAGCGAGGCCGTGAATGGCCTTGTAGGTGAGGGTGAGGATCTTGAATTCGAAAAGCGTAAATTCGATAAGCAAGATAAGCTCCCCACATCGCCCCCCCCACCTACCTCCGTTCCCGAAAAACTTTTTATTTAAAGACAGATCTTTGTTGTTCTTTTTTCTGTTTAATAGTGCCCAGTCATATCATGCCAACTTTTGCTGTTAGGTTGAAAACTGCACAGTGGTGTTCTGGAATGGGAGAACTACTGCACTTTAACCTGTGTGGAAGAGATGTTCACACACTACGTTCCTGCCTGTGGAACCCACTGGTAGACAGACGCAGCACCTGGAACATTAAACTCACATTCAACAACTGTCATGCCAGCAGCCGCTAGCATCACTTATATCCGACTGCAGCCTGTTATTATTGCCATCTGAAGCGCAAATGCAACAACAAATAACGCTCTCCAGCTCACAGGCTGCAGCAAGTTGCTACTGAACCTTTCCTCCTCCTCTGCTACTTGACACCCGTCCAGATTTTGCCTCGTTAAATGACGGCAAAGATTGCTTCGTGTTCATTATCTTTCCCTCACGGAAACACAGTACAGTACTACAAAAGTAGCTAACCAGCTTGACCACAAGAGTGCTGAGGAGCGCATGCTACAGAGCCAAATAAAAGCAGCAGCTTGAGTGCCTGCATTGTCAAAAGGCACCGGAGAAGGTGGGTGGATTTTAACTACTTTGACATTGCAATGCTTTTGATTTTGTCCGATCATATGCTAGATTCCAAATCATATTTGAATTCCAACCTATCTTTGGATGCTGTATCTTTGCTGCGAGCGAGGTTTCCAAGTAAAGGTTTAGTGTTTAAATTTAGACTGGTTGAAGCCTAAGGCCCAGAAGCAATATGTAATGCTTGTAATTAAACCATAAAGCTTATTGTAACAGGCAGTAGGGGGAGCAATGCATTCATTAAAAATCAAAACATCAAAAATCAGCCAATCTTCCTTTCCTTTTATTCCGTGTGTACAGCACAGTCATTAGAATGACACAACAATTCCTTTGCAAAAAATATTGCATCTGAAATGGAAACCAGCTGATTGAATTATTTTTTTTAATATCCCACTTCCCCCAACCCCCTCCCCCAATGGGAGTAAATTTGTGTTGAGCAATTGTTTTTAAGGTACGTTTTAATGAGAATTCTGACATTGTTTCTGCGGACAGCACACTGCACACAGATTGCTGCATAAGGTTTCAGGTCTGAGAATCATTTTGAACAAGCGACACTGTCGACATTATGCATGGACAATGTGATGACAGATGGGAAGTGTAGCGCGTGGAGTGGGGTGGTATTTAGGAAGCCAAAACGTGTTAAGATTAAGATAGGATGGTGTAGTAAGGTGGTGTAGTGAGGTGAGGAAGTGTAGGACCTGTGATTAAGTGAACTTTTTTTTCCAAGCGGTCTGAGATAATTTCCGGGTACATATAAGTATCCAAAAAATGCGTGCATCCTCACTGAACATGAGTAACATGGTCCAAGGAATTGACAGATCCAGGGAGGATGGACTGAAGTGAAACATGCCAGTTGCTTGGTGGGTGTGACAACAGTCAGATATATGAACAAACTAAAAGCTCCAATTAACAAATCTTAGATTGTGTGTAAAAAAAACAATGAGAACTTCTGAACATGATCCTGGTTTTGGTACAGTTAATATAAACACGAATTTGCATTAACACGAACTCCGTTGGTTATTTGCATTGGACATCAATGCCATTTGAAAAGTTGGTGCTTCAGGAATCCAGAGTCAAATCTCACTGTTTTTCCTTTTTCTACTGTGTTCCCTCTCACTCTCTGTGAGGTGACGCCTTCTTGGAACGCTTTGGTAGAGCTGATCAAATCACACTGAAAACTGAAACTGAGCCTTGTAAGATTGGTTCACGTGAGGTAAGTGCAGTGGAAGAAGGCTTTTCAGACCATTTTATCTCATTCTTGTGGTTTGTGTCAGAAGTCCACATTGTGTCAGGTCTACCGAGAGGCTTTGTGTAGATTGTCCTGGGGAAAGTAATGAGCACCAGATTTTCCAATGTTTCCTTGAGGAATTGTGCTTCAGAAAGTGGCACTTTTTTTGCTGTCCACATTTCAAAAGGCTTCTAAATGTTTTTAAAACCACTGCTCCCTCCCTCCCTTATTTTTATTATTATTAAGTTGCCAAAAAATCTTGGAGGTGGTGCTCGCCGACAAAAGTAAGCAAATCCCAGGTAGCGATCGCTGCTCCAGTGACAAATTTCTCAAACTTTCTTACTAAGTTGTCCTTTTATCTTCATCCTTCACAGCAACGTTTGAAGCAAGTTCTCCGCAGCGAGTTATGAAGAGACTACACAAAGGCTACCTCGTCGCTCTCCTTCTCGTAATCTGCATTGTATTATATTTGCAAAGCACTTTCATTTACTGTTTCCTACAAAGATGCTCTTTGAAAGATAAATATGATGCGGATTTTGATTATTCAAGTTTAATCACAGATCCTGGGATCATGTTTGTGCAGACTACAAATGAGGTGGAGCCGACACCACTGGCTGTATGTGCCGTGGAATCAGCTGCTCGGGAGAATCCAGATAAACCTGTTTATTACTTTATGAAGGGACTCAGCGGGAATTTATCACAATATCCATTCCCTCAGTATGTTGCTGCTCCCATGCTTTCATCAATCAAGAACGTTGTATTGGTTCCTTTGAGGCTCAAGGCATTGTTTCAAAATACGCCTTTGAGTTTCTGGTATCAACAGGTAATAGTCATTCAGTTCAGAATCTTATAAGTAAATGTCTCCCTCTCCTGGTAATTTATATATAGTAATAATGTTCACACAGTTTATGACATGTTAAAGTTGATTTTGTTGTCAGAAGTCAATTCACTTTACAGTATATTCTGTGAAGCACTTTGAGACGTCGAATTCAAGATCCACATCCACATCCTCACCTACAAGGCCATTCACAGCCTTGCTCCCTCCTACCTCTCCGACCCACTATCCCCCTACTTACCTGCCTGTAGGGGGATAGTAGGTCGGCGGCCGGGCTTTCAGCCTCTCAGCCCCGAGGCTCTGCAACCCATCCCTCAGTGCCTTCGTCGCTTCCTCCCTTTCCTCCTTCAAGGCCGGTCTCAAGACCTTTCTCTTTGACCGAGCCTTCAGCTCCCCTCTCGACTCTCTACCCCCTCCTCGCTCCCTCCCTCCCCTCCCCTCACCATTTTCCCCCCAATGCTCGGGTCCCGAGTCAACTGTCCAGCGCCTTGGGACGTCCTCCCGACATGAAAGGCGCTCTGTGAATGAAATCTTGTTGTTGTTGTCTCGAATATGTGATAAGGCGCAAAGATTATTATTTATTATTATTTAGAAGCAAGTTGTTGATATCTTTGTTATAGACTTACCAGAAGGACGGATGTCCTTAATGAAGCGGATGCCAAGAACTCAAGATAATGACAATGTGCAGTTGGAAACTTTCCTGAGTTTTGAGCGTTTTTAAAACAACAATTTTGTTATTCCCTTTTCTTGCCTATCCCGCCTCACACCTCTGTTCCTGAAGATGTTGAACTGCAGTGAACAGTTAAGAAACAGGATTGGGTCCTTGCTTAAAAGAAGAATATATGTTTATATAACAGAGAGTGATTCCAAAGGGTCTATTTTCCTGGCCAAGAATCCTCCAGACCAAAAATTGATCATTCACTTCAAGGTTGGTTTGTAGGACATTGCTCTGTGCAAATTGGCCGCAGTGATGGCTTACAAAATACACCGTTAATCCACTTACTTACTGCAAATCCTGTGAAATGCTTTGAGACGTCCTCCCAGTGGAAATGGTGCTATGTCAAATGCAAGGATTATTATTATTAATTAGGATTATTATTTTATTGGTAAATAATATTGTTTTGTTCTGTCCATTATAATGCAGGTAAATCCGTACCGGCAACAATACTGGATTCATGTGCTCTCTGACGCCTGCAGGTTAGCAGTTCTGTGGAAATACGGTGGCATCTACCTGGATACAGATATTATATCCCTGAAGCCTTTGCAGTTCACAAACTTTATCTGCGCAGAAGGATACATGACTGCCAATGGTGCAGCCCTCGGATTTCAGGATCACCATCAATTCATGTGGGACTGCATGGAAGACTATGTCACCAACTACAATGGGCAGATCTGGGGTCAACAAGGTCCTCATCTGATCAGTCGTGTGTTGAAACATTGGTGTCAGTCTGATAACCTTGGCAAATTTCTTGACTTGCAATGCAATGGCATTTCTTATTTGTCTCCCAGATATTTTTATCCAATTAAATACACTGAGTGGCAGAGGTTCTTTCAGCCCTGGAATAAGAACGATATTGAATCCTTTTTCTCAGATACAAAAGGGGTGCACATCTGGAACTTCAAAAACGTGGGACAACAAAAACGAGTGGTTGCCGGAAGTGGAACATTAATAGAGAATTTGTTTATAAAATATTGTCCGACCACCTATAAGGTTCTCGTAAAACGTAGCAGCTTTATACAGTAAATTTTGCACACGGAAGAGGTAAATACGCTTTATTGCAACATCAGCCTCCAACCATAATATTCTTGTGTTGTATGACACTGTGGAGGATAATGACGTACGGTATACCTTGTATCGTATATATAATGGACACCTGGGAGATTAATAATAATATTAATAATTATCCTTGCATATGATCTAGGCCTTCTCATGTGCCAACGAAAATCACAGGATATACCATAAAATGGTATGTGAAACTTTGCCGGTGCAAAACAGCTGCCGTGTTTGCGTACAATAAATAATCACTAAATTTGAGTTATTGTGATGTGTGTGGAGACAGTTCACTATAAGGCACTTCAAAAATCTAAATTGTTCCTGCAATTATTGTGATATAGTGATATCTGCCCAAAGTACACAACTGAGTTGAGGATAAAGGAGCTTTTGCAAGATACCCTGATTTTGAATTAAGGCTAAGATGGGGGACTGATCTAGTGATTGGAATGATTATACACATTTCTGCCATTATACTGTGGTTCCCTCGAAGGCTGCTTCATCAGGTTCTATTAACTGACTGCAGCCATTGTTTTGTTGATGCAGATGTGTCCTGGATTAGACTTGAATTTTGTTGATGTACTGAATTACATAAGATTTATAGGTTTCAGGAACAGAAGGAGGTTCAATAACTGTTTCAATGTAAACATTTATTGGCCAGTTGTGAAGCCTATTATATCCTATGTTCAAGCGCCATAGCCTAAACTCTACATAGCCATAACCATATTCATGCTTTTGATGACCCATTTCCTATTATGTGGTAGATGTTAGTTTCAGCGCGAGCCGAAAGGATAAGGTAAGAGTCCAAATCCTTGACTGTCCAGATCTTTGGGATGTCCCCCCAACGTGGGCAAATGTAATTTGTTGTTGTTGAGTTAGAAGAGGAATACCAGCTGAGAACAACAACAACAAATTACATTTATACCGTGCCTTTCATGTCAGGAGATGTCTTAAGGCGCTGGAGAGTCAGGGATGTGACCCTGTGCTGAAGGTTGGGATCAGAAGGGGTGGAGGGCAGGAAGAGTAGAGAGAGGAGGATCATCGAAGGCGCAATCGTCGAGGAGGATCTTTAGAAGTGCCTTGAATGAGGCAAGGGAGGGAGCGCAGCGAAAGGGCTATGGGACGGAGTTCGAAAGGGTGGGGCAGAGAGGCTAAAGGCACGACCACCAATGGTGAGTGGGCCGGGCGGGGGACGTTGAGCAGGCCGGAGCCTGCTGAGAGGAGGGAGTAGCAAAGCTGAGGTGTGTGAGAGCTGCAGCACATTGTGACGGAGTCTACGTGAAGACAAGTAAGTAGATTACAGTAGAATTCTTCTGAACAGGAGCGAGTTCCTGTTTCCTTTTATTGCTACAGACGGTTCATGATGAGATTTCACCAATAGTTAAGCTGTTGTAAACTTCAAATTGGTATTATACAATTTTGCTGAACAGTCTGGTTACAGGACAGATGGTAAACATTTGCATTGAAATATAATAATCTCAGGACAATTTACTATCCACCCCCCTGGCAATTAGAATGTCAGTGCAGCTGGTAAAAAAATAAACAGTGAGTCTTGTTGAGTAGTAAGCGGCTGACTAACTGTGTAATACTCATAATTAACTGAAAACGATATTTAGTTGGGAAACCACATTTTGTGTACATTATTCATGGAGTGTCTGCAAGAAAGCAGCTGTGATCCCACTTGGAGAATTTTGATTCTCACATAAAGGACAGATTAAGGTGATGTATCATTTTGTGTAATTGCATTGGGGGTTAAAGTGCAAAAATTGCAGAGACAATGTTCCTATCAAAAACTCCGCTTGTAATTCAAGTGCTGCTTTCATTCTGTTCCACTATAATTATGTTTATGTGACACAGAAATGTTATGGATTTAACATTTCTGTGTAATGTGATTTTGGGCCCTACAAGACAGGAAAGTTTGATCGCTGCTCTGCATTGTAAACTAAGTTCAGGCGGGAAAGCAGTGGCGTGAATAGGCGAAGGAAGAAGGAAGTGAATCTGGATTCCCTTTCTTAATCGCTATCCAATAACCCTTGCTAGAAAGTGCATATCATTGAATCATAGAAATTTACAGTACAGAATAAGGCCATTTGCTTCATCATGTCTGTGTCTGCCCATCATCTCTTAAAGAGCAATCCTTTCAGCCCCATTTACCCACCTTTTCCCTATACCCCTGTAGTTTATGTTTAGGTGCCTGTGACTGAATTGGTGTCTGCACTTGATGTGTCCTAAAATTGCATTGCAAATAACTTGAAACGAATGACCACTTCACCTATCATCTGCAGTGGGAAAGATAACTGAGAACATTTTATGAGATGCTCATCTAAAGAGTGGCGAGGCTCTTAGAATCCAGAAGCAATTGTTTACACCTGACTAATATGCCGGAGTTCTTGGAGAAGGTAGTTAAACTAGAGGATACAATTTCCATGGATTTTCAGAAGGCATTTGATAATATTTCATTATGGAGTCTTTTAATTATGGGAAAGCTGGTAAATTACCAGCAATTTACCAGTTAGCGAATAAGATTGGGAAATAGAAGATGGTGATAATAATAATATTTGCATTTGATATAGCGCCTTATCACATCTTGAAGTGCAGTGGTGATCAAAGTTCAACAGGAGTCTGTCCAGGGTTTCTTACCCTGCTGCTTACACTGTTTATAAATAATTTGGCAAGGAGGATTTCTGGTAATATCATCAAATTGGATAATTATACCAAGCTGTGTGGGCAGGTGATAAATAAGGAAGATGAACAGTACTCAAACAGAATTGGACAAATTAAGCAGATGGTCTAATGAATGGCAGATGGATTTTAACGCAGATGAATATAAGGTAATACAATTGGAGCAGGAAACATCAACCATGGATGGAGTGAAAAATGACCTGTTAGCAAAGGTTGGAGAAGTAAAAGAATTTGGACGCGAGTCCTCATTATTCACTGAAAAGTTTCCAGTCAATGTGAAGCAATTAACTACAATGTCAATTAATACTAAACTGGATCACAAGCATTTCAGAAGCAGATTAAATAAATGTTTAACTATGTGTAGATCACTGGTAAGGCTACATTTGGAATATCTTACCCAATTCTAGCCTCTACATTATGAGTGACCAGAAAAAGCTGGATTTTAATTTGCTAGAGAAAAGCAAGTTAAATAGAGAGATATATGATCCATGAGTTTAAGATGCTGTGAGCTATCAATGATGTAAATGTAAGTAGGTTTATATCTTGGAGGACATGTTCAAATGAAGGTGCCTTGATCAAGTTCAGGGAGATTAAAATATTTATTTTCTCTTCCAGTGAACACTGAATATGTACCTCAGTATTTTCAGACATCCCAAGGCAGCAGAACATGAATGTTTAGGTTCAGGGTTGCAAAGAACAATTTCAGGACAGACACAAAGATGTAACACTTTACCCGAAGGAGATTTAATGTCTGGAATGGGTTACCAGGAAGGGCTGTGAGGCCAGGATTCTGGACTCAATTAAGCAACAGCTTGGTGCTGTCATGGGAAGGAGGGAATTGAGGGCAACTCGAGAAGGATGAGATCAAATGGGTCAATGGACTTTCTTCATCCGAACCTCTTTTGTCCTCCTGTGACTCCAATCAAAAGCAATGAGGCCCGCCGAACAAATCTAAGACGTTATCCTGTTGATCTTAATCCAGCATTTTCTCAGACATCCAAGGTAATCATGTATGATGCCGACAACCTCGGATTTCTTGAGTAGCTTCAGTCAGCACTTTCTTCCCACTTTCTCAGATGTTCTCCATAGCATTCTCTAGATCCGGTATGCGATCTGGATATTTCAAACAATGTTTGGGTTTTTCAGCTTCTCGGTGTCAAAAGACATTATTTGTTTGTCTCCATCAGCATTTTGTTTTAGTTTGTATCTGCCAAATGTTCTGTGAATCCTGGATTAGAAGCTACATGATATGGATTTCTACCGTGTTCTACATTGCAAAACTGAAGCTTTGAGCATTTTTCTCATTTGAATATTAAATTATCATTTTAAAATGCATGACAAGAATTTTCACTCATAATAATAATAATAATAATAATCCTTGCATTTGATATAGCGCTTTTCACGTCGGGAGGACGTCCCAAAGCTCATACAAGCTCTAGGTTCATGAAACTCAACTATTTCCAACCCATGCTGTTTGGACTGAATTAAGTTATCAGGTAACACTAGGAAAGATTTTAGTAAAATGCATAGGGGCTTGAGAGCATAAATGAGGCCTTCTAATTGAGATTTAAATGTAGCATTGAAGCTACTTGACCAACCAAGCATGAAATAATTTAATCGATTGTTAATTCTATTATGCCCAGTCAGGTTGGAATAAGTGTGCATTAAAAAAATACTGTGAACAAACCTAATACAATAGAATGTCATCAGGTTTAAATTATATTTGGATTCAATGTAAAACTTGAGCAAGACACAGATGGTGTGAGCTCAGTTGCTGGTTCCAGAGGAATACAAGCCTGAATTAATCAAACCAACAGTCAAATGTTTGCAAGGTAAATTAAAATGAAAACAATAAATTGATCAATGTATGGTTCTCTTTTTCAACTAAACTAGGATTATTTCATCCTCTCATTATTACGTTTCTCAATTGGCAAGTGCGGTGTATCAGAATTTGGTTGTTTACAGAGGAGACAACTGAACATTCACCGTCATCTTTAACACTTTTCAGCTGACAAGTGCGCACAAAATATATTTTTACAGTAGTTGTAGAAATCATAAGGTGCACCCTAACCCTTCTTCGTTAAAAGTATAGCAATTAAGGCCATTGTCTTCAACTTTGTGAAATTCTTAAATTCAGTCTTAATTTGGAAGCCGGGTTTCCGCAGTTTTTTNGGGTTTAAGCACAATATTCAAACCTTGATACAAGTCATAGATTCAAAACGCTTGCTAGTTTCTACCATTTGATTTCCAATTTAATTGGAAAAACTTTGAGTTGATAATTTCAATCCCAGAAAATATACGCTCAATTCAGTATATTCTGTGGAGCGCTTTGAAACATTTTGAAAGATGTGATAAGGCGCTATATCAAATGCAAGGATTATTATTATTATAATCCAACTAGTCAAAATACCACAAAACCGGAGT